GCGTCCATCTTTTGAACGGCAAAAATTAGAGCGTTAACATGCCGGCCGTCATTTGATGACATGAATTATTATATCATGATTTGAGATCCACCGTTCAAACTTAACAATTAAGGTTCTCGTCACAAATAGATGCATTTGATACTGGGATGGCAGCCCCCGAGGTTATATACAGAGTGGGATTAGCGACTTCCGAGAGTTGTGGGACTCCCTTCTACATGGGTTTAACATATACTCAGATCCACCGACCTTGGCTTTGATACCAACTAAGGTTCTCCTCACCAAAAGATGCATCTGATAGTGGGAGGGACAGCCCTAAAGGTTATATGTAGAGTGGATTGACTTCTCTAAAGAGATGTGGGACTCCCTTCAGCAGATTCCGTTAATTTGAATTAACGGAATGATGACATTGAACATTTTCATATAGTCTAAGGAATAAATTGAATATTTATGAAAATTCAAGGATCACATTAAATAAATTAAAATTTTATGAATGATATTTTACGTTGAACCAAAATTTATGAATCATATATGTCATTTTCACCTTTCTTATCAAACCAGTTTTGATGCATCATATTGCCCATGTTCAAAATAAAAAATTTCACAAAGACATTACCAGGAGAAAGAAAGAACTTTCAAATTATGAGCAACTAAAACTAGGCCAAATATCTTCGTATCTAAATTTAATCAATGAAAAAGGCAGAGTCGAATATCGAGTTTAAAAACCTTCCTTAATCCTACCCATGATTAGAACAATACCAAATATTTTTCAATCTTCTCTTTTTAAGAACTTTTTTCCCAATAAATTACGACCGTATAAATTGATCGAGTTAATCATATAACTTCATTTTTGCATGTCTCGTTTATTAAATTATGACAATATCAATTGATTTATATCGACAGTGGAATAAATTAAGGGAAGTGATGCAAATAGTTCTTAAACTTTGGCCCAATGTGTGATATAATCTTTAAACTCTTAATTTTCAAATATGATGCTTAAACTATTCCTAAATAAATAATCTAGTTCTTAAACTTTCAATTTGTTCAGTCAAGTCCCTCAACTTTCCATAACAAAGTCAAATCGGTCATTTAATACTATTGACGAGTTTTCGTGATTAAACTGTCGCCCGATTTTAGAATATCTTTTCATTTAAACCCATTTCCTAAATCAACAGAGATTATGCTATCTTTTTATCACCATTTTACCTTTATGGTCTTTATAAATAATACCATAGTTCTATTTAAATATATTTTCACCGATAATCTCCATATTAGTAAAAATATAACCTCATTTAGGGTTATATCGGATTCATGTTCTTTTTATTTTTAAAATAAGTATTTTCGTAAGGATATTTACTAATGGTATTAGTTTTTCTAGTAGATTTCTCGTACTTATGTTAATCTAAATCTTGTTCCTAATTTTTTAGATAGATAAATTACAATTTTTTATGTTTTGTGTTTTCTTAACTAAATTGAGCTAAATTAGGAAATCGACATAGCAAGGATATCAACCTAATACAGCTCTAAATGAGAGATTCTACTTTTACTGTTACATAGATTATAAGCTGAAATATAAATAAATGGAACTATCGTAATATTTTCACGAGAGGGGTTTGTGTTCAGAACAATAACTTAGGAAATGCACATATTCAATCCCCTAGGCCATGCCCTGTCGGGACCGACTTTTGGCATCCATTTAAACCCTTATTCCGAACATAAGACATTCTGACCTCAGTTTCCGGTGCACAAGATCCTCATGGAGGCGAGTGCAGAGTACAGAGCATAATACCAGGATGATGTGCTATATTATCATTTTGAAGTCGAAAGTTTATGGACTCCGAACATCCAGGATCGGTTCAAAGGTTACATTAAAATGAATCAAAAGTCCAAAAATAACATTATACATCTTGCCAAAATTCGGAGCTTGGTCGCATCATTTTCCCATTAATTTAGGGCTGTGTTCGTTTGCGGAAAAATATTTTTCCGGAAAATATTTTCCGCATTTTCCAGTGTTCGGGGGCGGAAAATGTTTTCCATGGGAAAACATTTTCCTTCCCCACCCCCAAATCCTTTATTGTTTTGAGGAAAATGATTTCCTCTTTTCACAAAGAGGAAATCATTTTCCCCCAAATTGAAGGCAAAATTGCCCATGGGAGGAAAAATATTTTCCGTGGGAGAGGAAGTTGACCGCCGATCACCACCGTTGGCCGCCGGTCGCTGGCCGCCCGCCGCCGGTCGCCGCCGGCCGCCGCCGCCGACCGCCGGTCGCGGTGAAAAATATTTTTCGAAACTTTTTCATATTCGGCCGAACACCGGAAAATTATGTTCGGGAAAATATTTTTTAGAAAAATGACTTTCGAGAAAATATTTTTCAAAAAGAGAATATTTTTCGCCAAACGAACGGAGCCGAGATATCAAAGGCTAATATTTATTCTCGAACTGGTTTTGGGGGGGAAGTTGTAGCCTCCATCTTGTCCAATTTAATGGCGACACACACATTGGGCAGCAGCGGTCGTACCAAAAAAACGAGATATTTGCCCTGGATTTTGGCACCTTCCTCGTCGCCTCCTGCCCCCACCATCGGCAAAACCATCCCCAAAGTCGTCGCCTCCCCACCCCCCCCATTTGCAACGATTTGTCAAGATCACTGGGAAAAACACAACACGAATCGGGTTTTAACTTTCTTCTATCGTCGCAATTCTTTGAAACGTAGCAAGAGAGAGAGAAAAAAAAAAACGAAGAAGAAAAAGAAAGTTGGGGGGTGTGAGAGAAACGATGTCTGTACTCGACAAGGCACGACAGCTCTAACGAAGAAAAGGTTGTCCCAGATGTTGACGTGAGACCGGGGATGAATCTAGAATTTCTTCTTTTCTTTTGTTTGTTTGTTTGTTTGTTTGTGGTGAGGACAAAATTCGATGAATGGTTACTATGGTAAGGTAGAAGTACACGTTCCGACCCTTGAAAACATGGTGAAAAAAGTAAGTTTGTTTTTCTAAAGGGGTTAATGGCACGGTTGATCGCTGAACTTTGACTCAATGTGTTATATACTCTCTGAATTTTTAATTTTTTCAATACGGTCCCTGAACTTTAGTCCAATGTGTAACGTGATCATTGGACCATAGACTAATTTGAATATATATCAAAAGTTTAGAGACCATATTGAACAAATTCAAAGTTCAACAATTATATTGCGTATTAGGCTAAAGTTCATGAACCACATTAAACAAATTGAAAATTCAGGGACCACATTGCACATATATTTATGGACCATTTGTGTCATTTTCCCTTTTATGAACTAGCGGGGACGAAGTGAAATGAAAATATTTACCGTGGACTTTAGTCTTAAAATTTTTGACGAGAAATTTAATGGGAGGCAAAACTCATTTTTTTTAGGCTAAATTAATTTAGCATAAAGTAAAAAAAAACCCTTGAATTTTATAAGATATTTAGAAAAATGAGTGGGGGCAACAGCCCCAACTACCCTTACTTTAAGGTCGGTCCCCGTGTGAGGCTACATCCCGATCGGTCTTTTGCATACATCGTATATGTACGAGATTGATACTTCACTCCATTAAAGAACACAATTGAGATTGCAATAATAGTAAAAGTTTTTCAATGTCTTCGTCGTATCGCCCGCATTTACTCAGCTGCTCGCATTCCTTCGTTCGCTAATTTTCTCGTACCTACTACGGACGCCGACCAATCAATCGGCGATCTGTTTCTACCCGTTTAGTAAGGTGATTCCTGGCGGCCTTTCATTCGATGGACATAAATATGACGTGAGACAACTCATCTAAAGTTAGGTTTGAAATGTTACTCGATCACGTCGTCGGAAAACGAAAAAAAACCTACAAAGACGTCCCCATGAAGACCCCCTCACGCACGAGGGGTCGTGCTCAAAATGCATCCATTCGGGCTCCATATCCTTGCAGCGAAAGCTTCCATGGCTATCGGTAATTCGAAAATTGACCGGTCTTTAGTGTTCTAAACCTACAAATAGGTGATGACGGCGCGGAACCGTTGTCGCGCGAGTGGTTAGCTGCCACCGCGAAGGAGACACCGTCATCGCCTTCACTTCACCACCTTCACTCCTCCTCCTAAAGTTGCCGTCGAATGGGTTACTTGCAAATTCGTCGTTCGGCTATACTTCCATAGGGAGTCAGGGACGGGATATTTACCCGCTGGCTACGATGGGGGGGGAGGGGGGGGTGAGGAGAATAGGTGTTCGATAGGCAGTCGAACCGGCCAAAAGATCGAATTGGAGATCGAACCGGCCGGTAGGGACCAAGTGGGCCCAAAGTCCTTCCTTAGGCTGGGCTGTGTTGGCCCACTAGGTCCTTTCCGAAACAAAGCTGGCTTGGTGGAGTTGTGGCATGCATGTGATTGCCCTTTTCGCGTCCATCTTCTAGGACCCAGCATCAGATGTTTCTCTTGCTTCTTTTTTGAAGTTGGCTCTTTCTTTCTTTCTCTCCTTTTTTTCGTGGATTGATGATTACATCTGAGCGACCGCGCTCATGTAATGCATCGTCACTCGACAAAAGTCACTCCCGTAAGGTAATTCGTGCATCGGTTAGCGATGAACCCAGCCAGGGTCGAAAGCAAATCCGACCATTCCAGTCGGAGACATTTCGACCGAGACTCGTCTGATTATCATCTATGTCCAGGGCAAAGATAGATGATATACATCACAAAACGTTCATAATACCAATCAAAAACTAAGGCAATGCCAATCACATGTGAAGTACAGCTACCCTCAAAACCTTCAAGCTACCGTGCATCTTTAATGGGGTTCAATGAAATTGAAATGGTTGCTTCATTTCACAGAACTCAAAAGGAAAACTTGACTGGAAGTTCCTTACCACTTCTCATTTCAACGCCCGGTATGTTTAATGTTTTCATCGTCTTTGGGACAAGTCTTTGGGACAAATTCGGGACCTCGAAACGCTGCCCTGGACACTTATAACCCGATCCACCACCCAACAATACGATTGAGCAAAATGGAATGGAATAGAAGGATGCTTCGCATAAAAATTTTCGCCAAAAATGCAGTCATGTCAATTTAGTATGCAATGTAAAGTACGAAGATTCACGTTGTGATTTTACTCGACCAGGCAAAATGAGAGAATAAATAAGCCAAGATATCTCAATCAGAGAGGACTTTGAGCATCAGCGAAAGGGTGGGGTGCAACTTCAGTCTGAAAGAATTCCGGTCACGTATTCATCCACTCGCCGTGGCGATTGAGAGGACGTTGTTCCTTGTTTTGCTATCCATGCACGCCCAATCATCTCCTGCATCACCAAAAAACAAAAATAATTCTCTACAAGCCTAGCACCGAAAAAGAAAAAAAAAGACGGACATGCAAGTTAAGTAATGTAGATTGATGACTAATCATGCATACAACAACCACAAGGATACGATACTTACTATCTTCTGGGAATCGAAGTATGGCTGCCAGCCCTGTCAAAATTCAGTACAATGAATAAGCACATGCTCTAGAATAATTTCGACTGCAAAAGCATCGGATCAAAAGAAAGAGAAAGGACACTTTTAATCATCGATCAATACCTTCCCGGATGTCTGCCAACAGCATTTAAGCCAGCCCTTCCGTTACTTAGCCCTTTGCCATGAGCATTCACACCGAACGTATCAAGATGTGCCCCGTTGGAAATGAACCCAGGGGCTTGGCCTGGCTTTGTTTCTAGACCGTTTGAACCCAGAGCTTCCTTAGACTTGCTTAGTACTGTGGCTTTGGAAGTACTCCCAGTAATGCTAAAGTTTATTCCATTAGAATGCATATGCATCGTTGACGGGCGCAAGGAATCCTCAGTGACATTGAAATTATTTTCAGAAGCATTCATCTGTTTGCTATCAATGGCTGAAGCACTTCTTAATCGGGCCTGTGCCACAGGGGTAAGAGCCACAGAGGACATCGATGAGGAATTGGGAGCTGACACAGCAGCTGCCGCAGCTACTTTTGCAACAGCTGCCGTAGCAGCTATCATTTCTTGAGCACCTTCACGCAGCTGAATGTAGTCCCCCTCGATCACAAAATACTGTAATAGCACATCACATTCTCCAGTTATATTGGATCTTTCCCTATATCAACGATATTTAAACTAGTTGAGTGTGTGCACATGTGCAAGAATGCGAACTAGCTTATCAAGAAACTCACTTCTGGATGACTAGCAACAAAGTCATCAAGTTTCCCGTACTTCCTCTTGTAATCGTGCCAATGTAAGGGTGCCAGCATCTTACCCAGCCTATTTGGCAGCTGTAATTGACAAAAATGGCTCATCAGATTGAATCAATCTTTCATGCAAGATGGACAAAGCAGCTCGCAACGATTATTTCCAGAAAAAAACACTAACCGTTGAACTAATTCGTATTTTACCACCAGGTGGAACGGTGCGAACTATACAAGCCAACAAGGATCTTTCATCAAGAAGATTAGTTTCTGGATTTCTTCCACCAGTTGACTTAATAGCCTTCCCAGTTGGAATAACCATTTCAGGTGCAATTTCATCAGCAGCGTGATTGTTGCCAATGGCATCACTATTTGCAGGATGAAGTGAAATTGGAGTTGGCTGTTCAGCTTTAAATGCTTGAACCTCTATTTCTTGATTAGTCACACTGGAAACCTCCTCCTATACCATTACAACAGCGGAAACTTCTTTTAGCCATACAAGCTGCCTGAGGAGGATGAACTCGCGACACAAGTAAAAGATATTGCAAAAGTTACAAAGGCATAAACAGCAGCCCACCTTAGATTCGATACTCTGTTGATGACCATCCAAAGTCAAAGCATCATGAAATTGAGATGAAATCGGGTTCAAACTCTGCTCATGCTGGGAGGATCCCAAGTAGCTTCTATCAATAGACTCGGTAACCTAGCGGATCGAAGATTGTGCTATTTAATTTGAAATCGTAGACAAGAGTGTGAAGAGAAAATTTCTCAATGATTAAACAGGGATTGTAAACACCACCTGTGCTTCTCCAGTAGATGATGAAATCGAAGAATCAGGCTCTATTACTTGGCTCACATGAACATCTGGATATTCTCTTTGAACGACTTCGCCATTAACAGTCAGCTCATAGCCATATCCGGAATCAGATTTCAGTAAGTTCTGTTCGTTCTGGGTTTCTGAATGCTGTATGTGCTTTGATATATGTTCTTCTCCAGATACATCCTGCAGATATGAACCTGATCACCATACCTTAAGAAAATTCGGTCATCAGCACGTAGGGATTATATGCTATTTCTGCTAACCTGTTGATTCTGCCACTGCTGATTGGACGACAGTGAAGGTATTGATTGATACTGATTAAGCTGAGAGTGAGGAACATTTGATGGCACAGATTGTGGGATTCCCTGTTGATGCATAACAAATGGATGAAGTGTAGGGACCTGAGCAGGTGATAGGTATGCAGGCAGTCCAAGCAGTGATGACGACCCAAGTGGAACACCAGTAGCACGGTCAATCTAATTTGAAATTGCCACGTATCCAAAACGCTTGGAAGTTAGAGACATCTCGACAAATAATTACTAGCATAATTTCAGTAAAACACAAAAGTACGGTAATGAAACTCGATTATCAACTAATATTTCTGAATTTCTAATTCAATACGCAGGACCAACATCTTCCGCATAACAACCAAAGAAAGTTCTCTTTCCAAATCTGAAAATAAAAACATTTTTATTGACTCAATAGCCCAAGCAAAGCCAAAGACAGAGATAAGATGTTTTCCACCAGCTATTTTTCCACGAAATGAACGCCCTAGGATCTGGATCTTTTTCTGGCCCTGAATCTAACTTGGCCAATCATTGAGATAAAAAGAATATCCCATATTTGGCATTATACCTGGGATGATCCATTGCTGGATGCACTGCCAGAATTATCACTTGAAAGCGCAACAGTATTTCCAGTGGATCCATTAGAATCTAATCGGTTGCCATTAATCTGTCCAAACTGAGATACATCTTTCACATTTGTTTGTGGTATACGAGATTCATCAGTAAAGGATCCACATCTTTCTCTCAGATCAGCCAATTCCAGTTGAAGCTGTTGTATTGTATGCACATGAAATCTCTCCATTTCTGCCACCTAGCAAATGTAACACAGTATAATGTCAGCATATGAAGATCGGAATAGCCAAATAATGCTATGAACCAAAAATATAAACACAAACAGGTTAACTTAATCGCAGATCGGAGATACAATCTAGAAGTATGAAAGAGAGATCATAGCAGATAAACCTGTCGTTGCCAACCAATCCAGAGCTGATTGCATTGTTCAGTTCGTTCGCGCAGTTCAGCTTGTAAAGAGTGAGATTGCAAAGCATCCATTTCCTGAACACGTGCAATCCAAGCTTGGGCCTCCCTCAACTGATCATCCTTATATATGATTGTCTCTTGAGCAACTCTATACTGCAAAAAGGGTAAAGAGTAAGTAATAATAAATGGAGTAAATTATCCAGACCACATTATCGCACCAAAGTAAACTAGCACATCAACCAAATAATTCATTTAGAACAAAAAGGATAAAAGATATGATTTCCTTATGCCAATAAGCTTGAAATTCGTTAACTCTCGAAAAGCTTTTCACTTGAGAAGCCTAAGCAACACCTCTGTTAAGCAGCACCGACCTGTTCCTGCAAGTCCATGAGCTGCCTCTCTTTGTCCTGAAAATGTTCCTGAAGGTCGTGAATTTGCTGCAAGTGTTGCATTCTTTCAGCGTCGGAATGATCACGCTCCCTTCTGCACAGAGTACAAGAGAGAAATTACCATTAAAGTCACTTCAAGATGTCTAAGCATCAGACTGTCCAAATCTCAGGAATAAAACCTGATGAGGTAAAAAAGCTGCAGTAGAAATAAGACAAGAATGTCAAGAAGCATACAAATTAAAGCACTCAATGCAAATGAGTTGACAATATCGCACCAAAGGCACAATCAAAGAGAAATTTTTCATATTATCTGGCAAAGTGACACCTCATATCAAACTAAAGCATAAGCTCAGAACTCGAAGTTAAGGACACACCGAAAAGTTGCTAATTCTTTCTTTTGTTCTCTTAAAAGATCCTCCTTGGCCCAAGCCTGCGAAATCAAAGGGACAGTTAAGAGTGATGGCTAGAAAGAAGCCTTGAAATGAAAGTAGAAGAAAATGAAAAAGGTCCACAAACCGCCTCGTTGTCTCTTTTTATAGCAATAAGCTCTCGATCTTTCTCTTCCATCCTCCTTTCCAAGTCATGGATTGCTTGCTCTCTTTCGTGTAGTTGCTCCTGCATGACCAAATAACATCACATTTTAAAGGACAGGGACTAATATATATCAATCTACCGATATATTTGAAAAGATTTAGTCCATGATGACTGGTCAGAGCTATGGGGTGCCAATAACCTAACATGAAATACCATTATCTATCAAAGCAGGAGAACATTGATTGGGCATGCTGCATGCGCAGCTTGTAAAAATGAGAAATGCTCAGCTGGCCTTTCATTCTAGACCACGCATGTTCCAAGCCTTTATATGAACTTATGATTACTCATTTTGGATTTAAAATTTATCATATTACTCCTCATTGGAAAGATAAGAAATAAACTCGACCGTTTCACTGGAGCTCCAAAGGATATCAAAACGAAATGAGAATGCTAATCGAGGTTGTCCATGATCGAGGAGAGTGCTCCTACTAACTGTGCTCTAAACAAGTTGATGCAGAAGCTCAAGTACTTCCAGTGTAAACTTTTATGTTGTATATGAAGAAACATATGTTTGAAGTTACAAAACCAATTCTTCCCTCTAAGTACATTATTAGAGCAGAACTTCAGAGTTCACTTTGACTTTAGCAGACCTGAAGTTTGACAGCAGCATCCGCATGCTCCTTGATTTGAGAATCAAAGGAGTTTTGAATTTCAGCAATCTCAGATTTAGCAATCATCTGAGCTCTAAGCTCAATCTCTAGATGCTGCAAATCCTCTCTCTTAGTTGCAATGCTTTGAAGCTGCTCCAATAGGTCGTCACCCGAATTGCCATCAATTGTAATTGTACAGAAGTCGAGCGGCTGTCTTCCCTGCTGCACCTTAATTAACAGCAAAGCACATCACTTTTTTATGTCCATCGAATAAGTCCCAACCATAACATCATGTTTATTACCTCATATATTGTTCTCTCATCAGACTGACCTAATTTTGACCTCTCCAAATCCTGTAAACAATTAACATGTCAGGAGAAATCAATGGAGGGAGTAAATAAGAGATGATGAGTAGAATGACTATTCTAAACGATTCACATCTACGTTAACCGTATAAACCCCCCCCCCCCCCCCCCCCCCCAAGGAAAAAAAGAAATTAAAAAAGGGCAATCTCTTTTCCTATACCAAAGTGGGGGAGAGCGGGCCAGTGAGGCTGGCACCCAGATTCTGGACCTGCAAACGATTATGCTATCATCAAGCCGAATTGCCAATTCAAATTATCAGAAAGACCAAGAATAGTTTAGACAAAGTGAGAGGCAAATTCTAATTCTCTTTAAGGCTCCATTTGTTTCGCGGAAAATGACAGATTTGGAAAAATATTCTCCTAAAAATGATTGCTTGAAATAATTGGTCAATAAAAAATATTATCATTATCAACACTGATTTATGTCTAAACATTTTCATAGACGGTTGAACTTTTTTTCGTTAATAGCTATAATTTTTAGGAAAATGTCTTCCAAATCAGTCATTTTGCTCGAAACAAACGGAGCCTAAACTTTTTTCAAAAACAGGCTGCCAATACAGCAAAAAGGCTGAACCTAGCTAAGCATTTGCAAATTTAACTTGTACATCAAGATTCTAGAGAAAGGGAATATAAAAAGTACAAGTCCTAAGAGGATACCGAACCTAATCATATAATTTGGCTTTTCCCCTCCACCGGACGGTAAAGCGCGACATGAAGGATAGAAAACAGACATTATCTACACTCAGATTATAAAGGCAACAGTTTTTCGAATATAAACTAGAATGAGTCCGACTGTCCATGATCACATCACAAGAACGCCCAACATGACGACGATTCGCGCACGATCTTCCACGCCCAACAGTGCGGACAAAGTCGAGAAATGTAAGCACTAGACAATGATGACGACCACTAAACAACACATATGCCGTGCCAAAATAAAAAATCAATCCCCCACAGGTTCGCGACAGTTGCTCAGAGTCGTGCATATACCGCGGCTTCCCGAAACTAACTCCGCGTTTTACCGAAACAATCGATTCACATTACGCGATAATCAAACGACTCGAGCGTTTAGGTTTAAATTCTAACCTCATTTCCAGGGCTCCGAATCGGCTGATGCTCAGAAACGGCGCGCCACTCCTTCCGGGACGAGGACATCGGCGACGAGCCGGCGCGATTGGCGGCCACACCGGCCGGAGCCTCCATCGGAGTCGGAACCCCACCCGGCGCCGCTCCAACCCTCAACCCCTTCCCCCCGTCCTCCCGGTGCTCCCCCTCCCGACCTTTCCCACCGACAAACCCTAGACCACAAAAAAGAGGAAAGGAGAGAGACCTCGGATCGAGAGAATCGGCCGACGGATTAGGGCTGGGAGCCGGCGGAGAAGGAGGAGGTCCGCCGCGGCACGGGCGGGCGGCGGGCGGTGGGGATGAACAACCCGGGGGGGCACGTAGCTGAAGATTCAGGGGCGAAACGAGTGAGGTTTTGAGATTACGGGGTTTTGGAGGTCCTCGAGTGCAATTAAGAGAGTGTTGATAGAGAGAGAGAGAGCGAGAGAGAATTTAGATGTGCAAAATCTCAACGCTGGGGAGACTCCCGCTATTTATAAGGGGCTCACATGATTGGCAGGCTCACGCACCCCATTTTGGCGCGTGCCGCATGGGATTCGGCCCCCTTCCGTCCCAGATTGCTTTGAGAAGAGTTCTAGCTCTGGTGGGCTTATGGGCCGGGCCATAAGCCCACAAAACTTGGATGATGTCCAAAAGTGTTCGGGCTTGGATGATGTACGGTGTGATTAAATCGGGTCTAAAAGGGACCCGGTTTAATAAAGAGTCGAAACTATGTATCAGACCTATCTAAATTTATGAGCCCATCGATCCCATCAAGCTGCATAGTCCATGCCCGCTCACTTATATGATGATCCCTCGCATTAGAATCACAGGCATCTTGACTTCTGAGGAATCGAACGGGTCGAACCGGTCCAGTAAGCATGAAAGATTCGATGGGCTCTCGAGAAGAGTTTATCGTCGCATCACTCGGCACATCGATGTTATGAATTAGTGTTCCTATGCTTAGTATCACTATCTTAGAATCGGTTCCTCGTCCCACCTCGAGCAACCACGGATGTGGATCTAGATTGAATGTGGGTCATGTCGAGACAGTATTTTCTTCTAGTTGGCTTTTCTGAAATTGGCGTGTTGGGCTATGTAATTGTAACTCGCGGCACAATAACACGAGCACATCTTTTCAATAAGTTTCGCCTAGGGTGTCAAATGGGGGGGGGTGGGTTAAGTCGAAAATGGTCCCACTCAAATTGACTAATTTAACCCATTTTTATGAAATACAATTTTGACGACCTGATCCTAACCCAATCCATACCCGACTCAACCCATATTACTAAAATACATCCATACTTAATTCTAACTGGGAAAAATTCCAAATAATGACCCGAAGTGCTCTCATTTTCTCAAATAGGGGCCTGAAGTGAACCATGTGTCAAATAAGGACCCGAAGTGTCATCATTTTCTCAAATAAGAGCTTGAAGTGAACATTGTCTCAAATAAGAGTCTGAAGTGGCTATCTTAGTCTCAAAAAAGGGTCTCACCTTACCGAAGTCAAGGGCATTTTCATCTTTTAAAATTTTTGATTTTTTTTCTTTTCAGTTTTTTCCATAAAAAACAAACTCAAAAATGAAAAAAAAAAAGAGATAAAGTTAAAAAACAAGGGGAGGCCAGCCCTGCCCCTTCTTTTTTAATTTTAAATCTAATTTAACTAAAATTTATGTTAAAATTATTTTTGGACGAAAATGCCCTTGGTCTGCTGGAAAATTTGGTTAGCCGGCGAACCGGCGGAGTGAGGTCTTTATTTGAAACTATTATAGCCACTTCAGGTCTTTATTTGAAAATATAAGTCCACATCATGCCCTTATTTGACACAAAGTCCACTTCAAGCCTTTATTTGTGAAAATGAGAGCATTTCGAGTCTTTATTTGAAATTTTCCCTTCTAACTATGAAAATAAACACTAACTCATTTAACCCACTTTAGGCTCTTCATGTTAATGTGTCACTTAGATAAAATTTTATATCAAATTAAAAAAGTATAATCACAAAATATGAAGATGTAACTACATAAATCGAAAAAATCTCAAAAAAAAAAAAAATCAAAGATGTGAGAGCCGCCCTCGAAGAGCTTGAAGTAGAAGACAATTTGTTGCAGCTTCACAATGCCGGAGACGCCCTCGAAGATGTCGGAGTCATAGGCAACGCCAAGGAAGGTGTCCTGGTAGGTGAGGTAGGGGCCTTGGACGGAGATGTGCTCGTACTTGCTGAAGCAAAGCTGTAGATGGCCTCGTAGTGGTCACTGCACTTGTCAAGGAGAAGTTGGATGAGGACTCAGAGACCAGAGAAGACGCCAAGGCGGCACTGGAGGTCACCGGAGTCGAGCTTGCTGGTGAAGAGGACGAGGTCACTGAGGGAGTTGACACCCTTCTGGCTCAGCCACAGCTGCGGTTATTATCGGAGTGCTGCGATGGTGGATCGGCCACCATCTTTTGTTGGTATGATAATACAGAGTGCGGGTCAACCACGGCGCCGCTGGCGCGCCACCCTTGGCTCCAAAAGCGAAGACCTTGGTCTCGAGGTCCTTGATGGGGAGGTCGAGGTTGATCGTGCGGATGATTGGGGTGAATGCTGGCATGATGGAAAGGGTGGCGTTAGAGTTTTGCGGCGGTAAATATGGTTGTGACGAGTGAGCGGACTGAGGAGAGAGAAAGAGAGGAGAGAGAGGGGCGATCGTGCAAGAGACGAAAGAGGGAGACGAAGAGAGACCCATTTAGCTAGATATGGGTCATAAGCAAACCTATCATGATCTGTTTTTTAGGGCTTTCATTTTCTTATTATCCATTTAGGCCCATTTTATAAAAAACGGGTTACTCACATAAAATTGAGTTCCAAAATGACTCATTTTGTCGGATCTAATTTTGATCTATGGTCACGTTAGAGCTGGTATTGCAAATAGAGCCAAAATCAAAAGAGAAGACGAAAGAATTTGGGTCGACATTGCCCTCTTAAGTGTAAGATCAAGTTGTTCACACATTACATGGTGGGAATGCATGCACAGGGGGCAGGAGGAGTACGGCTACGACAAACCCATCTTCGATCTTTTCGCCACTTCAAGATAAGACCGTTGACTTGCCATTTTAAATAACCGATTAGCGGCAGGTGAGTAGTTGTTTAATACGAATCGGAGCACTAAAACCGACGCGTGATTCGGACATTATTCTTAGGAGAAATGCAGTTCACGCTCCCAATCCCTCTGACCCGCAAGATCGATGGGAAAGTCAACGATGTCATGGTCGGCCGAGAGGCTCGTTTCCCCCGAACATGAAGCTTTCCTTGAACGGATCTCGTTCTGAATACGCACGAGTTTCTTGAGCCGATTCCATTTGTCAACGCTCGAGGTTCAACCCTTCTTTGCCAGTGGAGAAGCATGTTCCGCAACTGTTATAACACGCACCAAACCAAGCGTTGTCATTTGGTCATCGTCCTCGAGTGCTGCGGAATGGCCAGTTTCACGCCCACTCGAAAGAAGACGTGAGGTCGTGGATGATATTAAGGGTGCGAATGGTAACCATTCTGCTCCAGAAATTAAATTCTTACCAGAAATTGATTTCTGGAGGAGAAATCTGTTTGGTAAAACATGACTAATTCTGCTTTAGAAATTGATTTCTGGAATAGAAATCTGTTTTGATTTGTTGATTTTTTTTGCAACTAAAAAAATTTAAATTTTACTCAAAGTGAGTGGCCACAGGTATTATAAGCCATTCTGTAAAGTTTTGAAATTTTTTATTTTTTTAATTTTTTTTGGCATCTAAAAAAAATTAAATTTCACTCAAAGTGGGTAGCCACAGGTATTTTAAGTCATTTTGTGAAGTTTTGAATTTTTTTATTTTTTTATTTTTTTGGGCACCTCAAAAAATTTAAATTTTACTCAAAGTGGGTGGCTACAGGTATTCTAAGTCATTCTGTGAAGTTTTGAAATTTTTTATTTTTTTTGGGTACCTCAAAAAATTTAAATTTCACTCAAAGTGGGTGGCCACAGGTATTTTAAGCCATTTTGTGAAGTTTTGAAAATTTTTATATTTTATTATTTTTCTTTTTTTTGGGCACCTCAAAAAATTTAAATTTCACTCAAAGTAGGTGGCCACAGGTATTTTAAGCCATTTTGTGAAGTTTTGAAATTTTTGATTTTTTGTTGGCACCTCAAAAAATTTAAATTTCACTCAAAGTGGGTGGCCACATGTGTTTTAAGCTATTCTGTGAAGTTTTGAAATTTTTGATTTTTTTGATTTTTTATAAAAAAAAAATTCATCAAATTTCATATTTTCCCGAAATCTGACTTTTTTTTATTTTCTGGAAATTTTTATGAATTTTTCTAGAATTTTTCAATTTTTATGGATTTTCTGAAAAAAAAAATTTGTGAGAAAATAGGGAGAATGCATTCCGGAATCAAGAAGCTACAAAAAGTAGCTTCTATTTTTCTTGCCAAAAACTTATTCTAGAATCAAGAATGCATTCTGGAATCAAATATTTTTAACAAACGCATTTTTATTCCAGAATGCAAAAATCGTTTTAGAATGCATTCCGGAAATTTTTTAACAAACGCCATTCTGTTCCGGAATGCATTTCAGAACAGAATTTTTATTCCGGAATGCATTCCATGCGCACCCTAAGCTCTGGGCCCGAGACATTTGTCTTTTGGTCAATTTCTTCTGGTGCCCTTCTATGACTGGCTCACGTTCGTTTTTGACTTCTAAGATATCTTTACAGCCACGATTCTGCCAGCTTATGTTCCGACTGTCAAAAGTTATTGGTAAGCATCTTATATGTTGGGTCCTTGTGCATGTGCATGTGCATGTGCATGTCCCTACCTCCTCCTCCTCCTCCTTTTATTCTGGTCCCAACCCCACTATTTTTTGAACAATGTTCTCCTCAATCAGTGGTTGGAAATTCCCTCCAACCATGCCTCTGCTCACAGAGTTACGGGCATGGATGTCGCCCGCATGCAAACCTAATTAGAACAATAAGGCGAGGTAATGTCCTTGCTTGTAAAGCTACTGATTCGAGGCATGAAAGCATTTGAGGGGAAAAAAATATGAAGGGATTCGAAGGCATGAATATGTTCGGCTAGTAGCCAAAGGCTCCTATTATGCAGTTGCATTATACAACGACCGGCAAAAATTGCAATTGGAAAGAGAGATGGTTCGGCGGATGTGAATAATCGCCAATTATTGGTGGGATCATGTAAAAATCGGTGGTTGAACTTTTATTTGACGTTCATTTTGATCTTGAATTATGATTTTGATCAATTTGATACTTGTACTCTTTAAGTCGAACCAATCTTATCTTCTGCTAATTTGCTGACGTGGTTGCGCACTTGTATAGCCACATTGGAAATATGGGTTCCACAATGTGCGTTAAATTGCCATGTCAACTAAGATGACTCAATTGGTTCGAATCAAAGAACGCTCGAACTAATTGGATTGAAATTAAAGTTCAAGAACTAAATTTGCACATCAAGTAAGAGTGCGGGGACTCGGGATGGATCTAGAAAATTTTTTACAATGGGGGCCAAATTTTATCAATAATGCGTATTACTCGATATGATCAAATGTTATGTAGGCTTTGTTTGTCTAAACTAGCTGCATTTTCATAATTGTAGAATTGCCTCCTGAGTTTCATCAATTTGTGGGGCCAAATGCAATGTAGATAGTCACTATTGACTGAGTCGTGCATTTTTTTGGGGAAATTTAAAGGAGGCAAAACTTATTCATTAGGCCCTAGTAATTTAGCAAAATCTAAAATTATTTTTATTATCAAATATTAGGAAAAAAAAAAAAAGTCGGAGCAAGAGCCTCATTGCCTTCGATTCAACATAGGTCTGTCCATGGCGGGGACCCATTTTGGTATTTTCTCAAAGAAATTAACTACTTATAGTATAGGGATGCGCATGGGACGCGAGGAATATGTGCCCCGCGTGATGCTGCCCCGACTCGAATGCGGCATTAGGCGGGGCGGGGCACGGGGTAGGCTGAGGCCGGTATCATCCGCCTCCTGCTTACAAGTTTTGTTCGCATAGAAAATGTAAGCTTTGGAACATCTCTATAGACCATTCTTCTGTTACAAAATCCGTTCATAAAAAGCCATTCTTTCTTATAAAGAATAGTACAAATAAGAAAAATGTCAATTTGTCATCTAGCAAGTGGTATTAGTTCTCTTCGAGAATGAAAAAAAAAAAAATCCGGGTCGGTGCCCCATTGTCCCCGTGAAGGCAAAATCACCTCGCCTCAGCACGGAGCGGTGGCGGGCTAAATATTTGTTTCTTAGGGCAGGGACGGGATTCCTGCCCAAAAGAATTTAATAAATGTTCAAAATGAAAAGAAAAAGGCTTATAGCCCGGTTCTCATGCGTACACTGGAATCAATTTGGAAGCAGCCGGTTCGATTTCGAGGCCAGTTCAATAAAGATCCCGATTCAGTCCTCGATTCTCAAAATTAATCCCGATTGAATAGATTTCAAGTTTTCAGTCGAGAATCGACTGACTCACCGTAAAACCGATTACCCCTGCACAACACACAAACAAGGGCCTAGGGAAAATAATACCTGGGTCAAAAGGTTATTACTTCCTAGGAGCATCGAATTTAAGTCCCGCGCAACAAAATAATCCGTTTTTCCGATGATCCTTTTCCCCTCTTTCAACAAATTGGACATTACATCCCAACAACCATATTATATCCAAACCAACAAATTGAATGCGGCATCATATCCTAACCTCCAAATCACCCATGTTGTAGGACAAGTAGCTTTGTTCGTAGGATCTCCAGAAGCAAATAAAAATGTTCAATTTAAGGATCTTTTTCCAAAGTCTCCCACAATAACGGTATGCATCGATCTCTGTCCAATCCAGAAACCGGACCAGATGGTTCGACCGGACCGGACCGTACCGAACCGGCAAAATCGGCCTACAGTACATCCGTTTCTAATATTTTTAATAGTTTTTAAGGTGGACGGGGTCGGCTATTAGTTCCAGAGACTTTTTAATGTGGAACTGATCACCCCCTGTCCCACAAGTATGGAGACCCTCAGCCAATCTCAACGTCTTTTTCCGGCTCAAACGGATAGACGCTTGGCGTACCCCAAACGTTTAAAATTAAATCTAGCCTTATTTAAATTAATATTTATTTATAGTGTCCAATCATGTTTTTTTCTCCATTTAAATCGTGCTCCACACGTTTGAAGTACCCACCTCGCACGCTCCCTCTCCCCAACGACCTCCCACTAGCGAAAATCGGTGAATTTGACCCGGAAAATGTCCCGAAATTGGGAATTCGAATTTGAAATATTTTTTCTAAAATTTTATTTCCACAAATGATCGAACCGGTAAAGGAGAGCATATATAATTTACAAACAAAAGCAATATTCTTCTTTACGCTTTTCCTGTGGAGAATATTTACAGGAAAATGGGAGAAAAAGCAGAAACCAAGCATCCACGTTTATCAGACCAGGACGCATTCGTCAACATCGTCATCATCGTCTCCATCGAAACAAACCCGAGCATCGTCGCCCCCAAAAAATTTCAGCTGAAACAAAAGACCTAAAAAGAAGGCAAATGAAAAGAAAAGGAAAAATGGTGATTCTTCACAGTTGCAGAAGTGATTCACGCATCATCGACCGACGTTCGACAGACCAAGAACGATCTATAACAACGAAAGGAAGCCCTAGCGTGTGGTGATAAGAAAAAAACATGGTGTCCATGTGATCAAACCCTGAAGCACCACGCGTGGTGGTGGCCGTGCCAGCCGCCGAGGGAAGGGTGGTGGTGGTGGTGGTGGTGGGGGGAGCTCTCCCGGTCGATGGATTCCTGGACGGAGCGGAACTCCTCCACGTGGCAGGGGATGGTGATGGGCCCCTTCTGGTCGAAGCCGAACTCCTCCTCGGCCTCCTTGAGGAGCTGCACGAACCGCGGGTGGTTCACGTACATCACCGGTATCACGAACCTCCTCCTCTCCCCCTCGCCCTGCCCCACCATCACCGCCAGGCACCCCTTCGGCACGTCGTGCTCCTGCCGCTGGTGGTGGTGGTGGTGGGGCAAGTGCAGGTGGAACAGCTTGTCTCCGCTTCCCATCGCCGGCCGCTAGAAAGAGCGAGAGAGCAAAAAAAAAAGAGAGAGGAAGAAACCAGACAGAGAGACAGTGGCAGAGAGAGGCGCCGAGCGAGCGAGCCGGGGTCGAGGGGACGACTGCTAGAGGGAGAGGAGAGAGAAGGGCCAAGGGTCGGAGGAGGAGATGGCGAGCTGGAAGAGGGTGAAGGAGGAGTCGGTGAAGGATCTGGGGATGTTGCTCATGGTAGACCACGATGACCGATCAACAACATATGGGGGGGTGTGTGAAGGGGATGGAGGAGGAGGAGGAGGAGGAGGTTTGGCGGAGGTGGGGCTTTTTATACGGAGGAGAGAGGGCGGTGGACGGAGGAGCTTCGGCCCTTTGGCGTTTGGTGTTCTGTTTCGTGTAGGGTATCGCTTTGGCTTTGGCTTTGGCTTTAGCTTAGCTTATACACAAAGGCAAAAGAGAGAGAGAGGAGGGGAGGATGAAACAGTCAATATCTCGTGTGGGTCACTACTGTGAAGATCAGGTGGTTCTGGTCTGGTTGTGCCTTCTCTCTCCCCCTCTCTAGCTAAGAAGAAGATGGAGATGAAGATGAAGATGGTGAGATCAGGATCGTTCCTTTTTCAAAATTTCGGGGTAATTTACAGCTGGAGATCGGAAGGTGCCGCGGCTGCTTCCAGGATTAGAGGACCCTTTGCTGTTTCCACTTCCGGGATATATTGCGAGCGGGGCCTGACGTGATTATTACGTGGATTCCCTCTCAAAGCTTCTCCCTATTTGACTTCTTTTTATCCCCGTGTTCACGCCGGGATCTTCTTCTCTCTTTCCTTTTTAAAACCGATACGATAAATTTATTCCGGATTAATTTTTTTACCATAAAAAATTTCAAACTGGTACACCTGTGATAATATTACTCTTCGTTAGTTTTCGTTAAAGTTTACCATCAAATTTTTTAATTGGATGGCACGTGACAGTTTGAAATTTTTAGCGGTCAAAAAATTAGTTTAGGATAAATTTATCGCAGGTTTACCAGTTTAAGGTTTTTCGTGGTTAAAAATTTAGTTTTGGGTAAATTTGTCATAGGCGTACTAATTTTGGGTTTTTCTTGATATTAACCTTTTAAAATTTTAGCGGATAAGTGCACCGGGAGCCCTGAAACTTGTCGCGGAGTTGCGATCGCGTCCCGAAACTTTCAAAAAAGCAATCAAATCCGCGCGATTAAGTGTCGATTTGAGATGTGATGCTCGATTAATATCTCTTTATATTCACAGGTGGCATGAAATGAAGGAAGAAGTGAAATAAGAAACCATGTCTGGTGACGCCTCGAAGTGGAATGCATGACCTGAAATGCATGACCGTAAATTACTGTTAATATAAAAAAAAGATTTAATTGACTTATTGAATGCAATTATAATATCAAATCCCTCCTTCCTAGAAATTGTTCCAATGTATACCTTGTAGTCTATCCACGGGGGTCACGCCTATTTTTCTATATCAATCCTCCATTCCTATCTATTTCCCATGTTGAAAATTATGTAAAAAAAAAAGAAAACAGGGCACTTTTTATTTTTAAAGTAATGACAAACTTACCATTTTATATTTCAAGCAACCAGCAAATAAGAAAGTGAATCGAGGATGGTGATTTTCGTTGCACAGGCTTTATATTGTTCCAACCGTCAAATGATTTTTCGGAAAAAATAACGTTATTGTTATTTCACTTAAGCCACATGAACACAAAGTCAACACCGTCAGCTGTTCGACGTTCATGTAGGTAGATTTTTAACGATCCTTATTTATGAAATTTTGGCGGAAGGTAAATGTATCGCATACAGTGGATATAGTTTGAGATTTTCTTTTTGTAGGTTTTGTTTTCTATCGCAATAGTTTTTTTTTTTTGGTCGGAACTATCCCAATAGTTACAATACATATTAAAAAATACATTTTCACATCAAGACTATTGCCAAAAAATAAAAAAAAATGGTGAACTGACTCGCAAGTTTCAACGTCGATCTCCAACTGCAGACTTTTTAATTTCACGAATTGACCTCGCACCCGCCTTTGTTTTTTCCAAATGACTCGCGCTTCGCATCAGCATGACGCTCGCCCGGAACAGAGCCGGGGCGCGGGACGCAGCAGCAGAACGAGCTCCGCCAGGAAAGGCCCGGTACGATCGTTGCGGACCCACCCGGGCCCAAGGGCCACACGCGTCGCCCAGCCACGAGGACACGTGGCCGCTAGGGGGTGGGGCGGAATGCGGGCGTTCCCGCGTGGGGACTCGCGTGGGGCCGGCCGACAATGACGGTGATGGAGGAGCCGAGCCGAGCCGAGCCGGACGACGAGTTCTGTCGGTACACGTCAGCAGGGAAGGGGACTCTTTCGCCAATTGGCGCGGCTGGTGAGCCCAAAAGTCTTCGGCGCGAAAAGAGAAACGTCAGGGTCTGGATCAGCTCCTAACTTAATCCTAACGTTTTCATCATTTTCCTTCTTTCTTAATTCCCCCTTTAAATTTGTCCTACCACCAAAAAAAAAAAAAAAAAATTTACCCTTTAAAACTTTTTGACCAAAAAATATATATTCCCCCTTTAACTTAAAATACGTGATCACAGGACAAAAAAAATAGGGTTAATACCGCGAAAAATTTCAAATTAGCATGCCTGTAAAATTTTACCCTAAACTAATTTTTTGACCACCAAAAACTCCAAACTTGTACACCTGTGATAAATTACCCTCAGTTTATTTCCGTTAAATTTTACTGTCAAATTGCTTTGTTAAATGACACGAGACAATTGACGGATGTACCAATTTTATATTTTACCCTCTGTTTGTCACATGAGTACCGGTTTATGATTTTTTGTGGTACTAATTCAATTTAATGGAAACTAACGGAGAGTAAATTTGTGATAAATGTATCAGTTCGGGGTTTTTGGTGGTCAAAAAATTAATTTAGGGTAAATTTGTTATAGGTGTACCAGTTTAGGGTTTTTCGTGGTAAAAAAAATTATTTTTGGGTAAAATTGTCATAGATATACTAGTTTGGAGTTTTTCGTGATATTAATCCAAAAAAATATTATAGTACAAATTTTAAGTATATTTTATTTGAAAGCACTCAAGTCAATTTATATGATTCCCATCACCCATAACACGAGAACAACAATCAATAAGTTGAATACTCTAAATTTTTTCTTTTATCGATAAGTTAATAGATATTTCTTAGAACGATCCGATAGGCTAGATTTGTTTCGCGAAAAATAAACAATTTAAAAATTACTTTCCTAAAAATGATCGTTCGTATCACCTGAAATAAGTCGACAAAAAAATTTCCATTATTGACAGCAATTTATATCTAATCATTTTCGTTCGTTCGTTCGTTCTTTTTTGTATGTTACGGAAAAAAATTTAAATTATTTATTTTCTGCGAAACTAATGGGATCTTGTCACAAAATCGAAGATGGGACTAATAACAAAATCATCCTCGATTTCAATTTTATTTTTTCCCGAAAAATCTAGCTAGCCGTGGGCCTGGTGGACCGGATCTGACGCCGCAATGAACGGAAGAAATTGCTGTTGAGCTAAAATTACAGAACATTTTTGTTAAGGTAGAAGGTGGGGAAGTACACAATCTTCAGATGATCTTTCAAATTAAAGTCAATTTTTAGAATTTCAGGAGATGTGTACGTTAGATATGGATTGACACTTTTCAAATCGCTCGCGGCCTTCGCATAAATCGTACTTTTAAAAATTGAGAGATCGAATTGAACAAATCGAATCAATATAACCTTTTTTTTTTTTGAACTTTCATTTGCCGGGATTTCTGCATAATCGTCTTCCTCATTAGTCACCACCCCAAACCAGCAAAACACGATGCAATTTTGAATTCGGATTCTGTTAACGAATTCCCTTGTTAAGCAGCTGATTGAGGAGACTTTACAATGTTCGGTATCCTGCTAACCGTCTCTTGAGCAATGCGCGAAACCGATATTTCGAAAGGCGAGTTATTCATCATTCGGTATTACCTAATAAGGGCCGGCTGTTCCCAAGGCCCGTGAAATTTTAGCGTGTCTTCTGACCCCGATCTCAGGAAACGAAGAAGAGATATTGGAAATCCTTTCCAATAATAAAAAAAAAAAACGCTTTCATTGCCAAAAATAATTTGTGTTTAAAAGTTTTCGTGGCAATGGTACCGATTTAGAGTTTTTCGTGGTATCAACTCTCCTTTTGTTTAAGCGGATTTAAGGTTGCTTTTTTTTTTATATTCGATAGTGTTTATATACTTATTTATTTAGTTATTTAAATGAACAGTGGAGCCGTTGCTCCCCCCCACAAAATGGGACGACCGAGAATAATAAAAAGGGGATCTTTGCCAAAAAGCATATGATTGCCTGGAGCCCTCAGCCCACGAAACGGGGAACCACTTGAATTCCACCTTTTAAATTTTTGTTTTAATTCATTTGATCAAATCTCTCTCTTTTGATCTTTATGACTCGAACATAGATTCCCCCAAAAACATTAATCCGGTAAACAAAATCAAATATCGATCTTTCATTTCGTATCGGTTCTCTCGATGCTATATGAATGATCGATTCCGTTAGCCTCCTGGTAGATGGGTTACAATTTCCCGGATAGATTTGCATGCGAACAAGGTCTATCTTCTTAACCCAACAAAATCAACGAGCTGCACACACGGGGGCAAGATCGCGAAATCTACGCACCGGCCTTATGAAAAGGCATAGATTTTTATGCAGGTTTTGCACCGTGATCGATTGTCTGTAAACTATTACGTGCAACGAGACGGTGCCCGAGGGACGGCCGTTCCGGATACGATGTGAGAACCCGAAACGAATTTACAGAGAGAAGTACGAATTCGAAACGGCACGTCCCGACTTGACTCGAAACGGGCACGAATCGGCGCGTTCTCACTCGATTTTTTTAGTCGAAATCATTCTATGATCATGTCGAACGTGAACATCCCTTGTAACGATACGAAATGCTACGAATACCGCATGATAAAAGAATTGCCGGCTCACCAAACTGTCCAAAGAACCGGCCCTTGCGAGGCGATGGGTGGATGGGCCCAAAGGATGAGTGGGGATTCGCATCAGGACACTTTTGGCCCCGTTCCCATTAAGAGAGAAAAACCATTGCTAGAGAGAAATGGAAATGATGGTGGGCATAATCGTTTGGGGGTGTAAATGGTTCGGTTCGGTTCGGATTTTCATTAAGAGAGAAAAACTATTGCTACACAGATATGGAATTGATTATGGGCATAATCGTTACAGGTGTAAATGGTTCGGTTCGGATTTTCGGAAAATCTGAACCGAACCGAACCGTTGAGATATGAGCTCGCTACAAACCAAACTGTGATCCGAACCGAATACAAACCGAACCGAAAATCCAGTTCGATTCGGTTCGGCTCGGTTCGGTTCGGTTCGGTTCAGATTTTCGATTTTTTGCTTTTTGTCTTTATACTCTAGTCGAGCTCACTTTCCCTTTTGAAAAAGAAAGAGAAAATCGCTTTCCTTCTTTTTTTCTTTGCTTTTTTTTTGCCTTGTCTCTGCAAAAATGTCTCTCTCATGTCGTCTTCTTCTCCATCATTCATCTCCCTGAACGCGACTCGCTCTCTTCCACTCCATTACCCCACCATTAGGTCCCCCACCAACACCCATCATCCCCCCTCACCTTCCCAGTCCCCAAACCTTCTTCTTTCCGCCTCTTTCCCAAGTCCCACCACCACCTCCGTGTCCCTCTCGGCATCCCCAGGCAGCCCCCGACTACGGCCTCGAGGAGTCCTGCTGGCTCCGGGAGGAACAATGGTGGCTGTGCGAGGAGCAGCGGCGGTTCCACGAGGCGCAGAGGTGGGCCCGCGAGAAGGAGTCCCCCCTCCTTGGCGAGATCGCCAGGCTGAAGCTCCGGATTCAAACCGATCATGGGGAGGTGGCGAACGTTGCCGCACTGTTGCAGGAGAGGGAATTTGATCGTGGGGAGAGGGTTGAGCGCGAGTCTGCGATGCTACTGGAGGAGAAAGAGGAGGAGGCGATGGACGAGAAGGAGATTGTAGTGGGGGAGAGTTGCCACGGTATTGAAAGATGAAACTATTTGGTTCAATTCGGATCATGAACCGAACCGAACCGAACCGAAACTATCCAAACCGGCAAAAAAGAATGGTTCGTTTTTCATTATCTGAATTGAAAACTGAACCGAATTGAAAGGCATAAAATTTTCGATTCGGTTCGGTTCGGTTCGGTTCGATTTTTCGGTTCGGTTCTGACACCCCTAATAATCGTTGTCAAATTAGTAAAGATCGATAGTGGGTCGTTCATGAATGCCTCCCAAGACAAAAAAAGATGTTCATTTTCAAGACATTCATTGTGCATAACACGAAAAAAAGAACGTTGGTGTATAGGTAGACCTGTCAAATGGGTCAGGTCGGAAATGGTCCAACTTATACCGATCTATATTGTCAAAATACTTATATATTTAACCAAATCTAGAAAAATTCGCACCAAAACTGAGCTGAGAGCGTGAGATCGAGTGAAGGCGGGAGAAAGTCATAAATGTGGGTCGGGTCGGGTTGGGTATAAGTAAGTTGTGAACCCATTTGACATATATATTTAGTCATGGCCACGGGCCGGTTTCGGCCCGGTCAAACCCGGACTCGAACCGTTGACCGGGCCCGCGGTTCGGAACCGGAACAGGCCCGTGGCCTACGGGCCCGGTTCCGGTTCCAGAAATTTTGGAACCGGCCCGATTCCAAAAAAAAAATTATAAAAAAAAAACCCGGCACCTGCAGTGCAGCAAGGCCCCACCCCCACCCACCCTCCCTCACCTCCTCCAGTACAGCAGTACTCCACGCCCTCCTCTGTCCTCTCCCAGACTCCCACCAGTCTTCCGCTCCACGCCTCCACCCTCTCCTCCTCCGTCCACACCCCTCTCCGCCGGCGCCACTCCCACCCCCTCTCTGCCGCCGCCGTCCCCTCCACCTCCCTCCTCCTCATGCCCTCCTTATCCTCCCACCCTTCCCTCCCTTGCATCGGCGTCGAGCTCGTGACCCACTTCCCCGGCAACTCCTTCGCGCTGAACCTGCCAGTGGTCCACGCTGTCTTCGTCCTCTTCAGCTCCCTCACCGGCCAGCCCCTCGCCACCGCGGACGCCACCGTGTTGACCCTATACCGCACCGCCTGCGTCTCGGGCCTCTCCTCCGAGCTCCTCTCGCGGACCGACAGCAAGGTCCTCGTCATGGTCGGTCCCTCCTTCCCCCCTCTCCCCTGTGCCGGTCCTCCCCTTTTCTCCTTCGCCCGCCCTCCGTCTTTCCAGATCTGACCCCCGCCGCCGTCTCCGCCGTCGCCCCCGCCCATGGCCGCAGCCACCGACGCCGATGCCTCCTCCCCTTTTCTCCTCCTCCCCCCTCGAACCGAAACCGACCGGAACAGAAACCGGCCTGGAACCGCCAGTTCCGAACCGGAACTGGAACCGCCCCCTTGCGGTTCCGATTCCGATTCATACATGGCCACGAACCGGAACCGGCGGTTCCTGAACCGTGGCCATGACTATATAGTATCTTGGGTTTACCATTCTGAACCAATTTATGATCCATTTAATAAATATAACTAATTTATATAACAATTCAGCTCATCAAATATGGGTCAAGAAATAAGCTTATGACCCATTTTGACAAGTTTATCTATAGGTGGGCTCTTCTCCAAGAGGTCACCCATTCTTATACAAAAGCGCATGTAATGAGTATTTCCGATTTTACATATATGTCCTAGGAATGTTTGCTCTTTGTTCGGTGAGCAATGCGATATATTCTTACCTCCTTCACCATTCTAAAAGTTTGTTAGGAGCCATTTCTTGTTCATACCCTCTAATCCCCGACAAACACTCCCTATGCTCGTTGGACCGAGTCATTACAAGCCCACTAGCTTTCATGTGGTTCATCCCTGAACTACGCAACTACTAGAGGGTATACCATATTGTGACACCCCTAGGTTAATTACTCGAGGTATTGTATTTACTTTGGCTCATCTCATATCGAGTCTTACGGTTTTGTCATTTGACGTACATGTGGGTACTTTCCTAAAAGGTCACCTATCTCGATAGTGATTCAACCCGAGCACGCTTAACATTGGATTTCCAATGCTAAACTTGCCTTTATGCCAAATGTGCCTCTTATAAGTTAATTCCAATTTCAAATATTTATCTTATGAACACTCTCCCTTCGCCATTCTAAAAGCCTGTTACAAGCCGCTTCTTATCAAAACTCTCTGGCCCCGGCGAACACTCCCCGAACCGGATCACTGCAACAAAATTTCTTTATTTGAATGTTTAACTGGTGCCTCTGGACACTCGTTAAGAAATCTATATTGATGAGATTAGCGTTGTATATTTTGATATTATTAATGTAGTTATACAAAAACTTAAAAGGATGTAACTTTTTTCATTTCAAAGAATCGTTATCATCAATTTGACTAATTCGATTACATTTTTCTTACATTGGTACATAAAAGAGAAGTGAGAACGTGCCGGCCTCTTCTTCCTACAACGATGCATCGGCTAAATTACATACACGATAAAGCAGGTAAAACCAAAATCGACAATGGCAAACGATAACGTTCTGGTGATTCCATTTCTTCATCGCAAACAAACAAATTTTCTAGGAACTTTCTCTCGATGAATGCCGGGTCCGCGGCATTTCTTTTTCAGTCGTCGGATCATCGGACTCAGGGGGTTTCCATCCAGTGAATCTTGGAGCGAGCGTGCTACGCATCTAGTCGCCGTTTAATCAATCGGGTTCACGTAGTTCGTACCAAATCGATCCATCATCATCACACTATTCACGCACACTCTTGCAGGCGCGAAGTTTCGAGCACCTGAATCGACGGCATCGTGGCGTGGTGGAGTTGGCTGACATCCAGAACCAGAAGAAGAGCATCATCCTGAGCAAAAGTACATAAAACGACCCTCGTACTCGGCCTCCGGGAGCCACCTAGCGGTCCGCGACACGGACGTCCCACCACACCATACAAGCCACGCCCGACAAGCAAAACTTGCTTGAAGCAGCAGCCTCTTCAGCCTAAGCTCTCTCGAAGTGGTCCCTGAATTGACCCGTAATCGATGCGAATGATATTTTAATCCCAGCGATAGATTCCAAAACCCGGGCCGACGTGAAGTCAGCTTTCGTCCCGAGCTCCTGACCCACCGCGACGACGACGACGACGACGGCGATGATTGATTATGATTGCAGGCGCTTGCTTTCTTCGGTGGCTCTCTCTTTCTTTCCCAGGGTAAGAACTTTTGGAAATGGTTTTAACTTGACAAATCCGACAAGTCGTTTGTCGCTATTAGGCTACCCGAAAGGGACCAACTTGCGAGTTGGGCAAAAGACGAGACGATGATGAACACCATCTCCGTTCCCTGGTGATGACTCGGAGGATAAAGATGTTCTTTTCTCCGCTTGACGTCTTTGATGGTGGAAACGACAGGAAGATGATCAGTGATTACGCACTCCGTTTCGCGAAACCCGTTAATCTTTCCCCAGCTGTGCTCATTTCTTACCCCGTGGCTACCCGATTTCGCGAGGACTAAGTGACCGGGATGGCCACGTGCGCGCGACTCTAATGCGACAGAAGCCCACGGAAGTCCGAATGTATATATGGATAGGTGCATGATCGAAGTACCGAAAGCTGGCGCCGTCGTCCCCTAGCGGGTTCGATGCTTATCCTTTCGGGAACGTCGTAGTCTTGTGATTAGGTGAGACGCGACTGTTGAGTAAATCCGCTCTCAACGTGTACTGGCCAAGTGGCTGCTTTACCCATTAGAGTTCACATTGAGCTGATGCTGACTGATGCGTTCTTAGCTCTCCTCGCATTCGTCTCCATTCTCCACCTCCGTTGGCATCTTGGCAACGAGAGAAAGAGAAGACATACGTTAAGCTAACGAGTTCGAGGTGCAATTCTTCTTCGATGAACCAACTCTCCCGATTCGACCGTGCGGTATAACTTACACACGTCGTCAAGGAAGTCGAACGCCGGTCACACTGTAGGCACTTTCCCTTCTCGAGAAACAGAAGATAAATTCAGGGTTCGACGTAAAGATCCCATCTTCCGAATCGATCTTTAACTGTGGCTTCTCACTTCAATTACAGAAGAGCGGTTCAAATGAGGACTGATATTTTCCTGCTCCCATGGTGGTGATAAAGCTTTAGTTTTCCTTTTCAATGACGTAGCTCAAGTGGTCGATAATCAACATTGAGGTACAACTATTAGCACCAGAATGGAAAAGAAGAAGAGATAGATAGATAGTGACTACCACAAGCTACATTACAGGAATAATATAAGCAAGATCACTGCAATACGATATTGACCCGATTGGCTTTGGATAGCCAACAATCCTATAATCAATCACACGTCATCATCACCCGGAAAGCAAATGATCCAAATCATGTCAAAGAAAATCCACCCTCCACAGCTATGCTACCAAGCCCACGTTAGCCCACACTCTTCTCGAAAGACATATCAAATCAACACTCACTCTCTATTTAATATCAATTTCCATATTTTTTTCGCTTCTCACTACCCAAGACGGTTCTGTAGCCTTTACTACTATTCTGGTGGCACCACCGAGGGTGCTGGAGATGGAGAAGAGCGAGGATTGCGTGGCTGGGAATATGAAGAAGAAGAAGGGCAAGAGCAAGAACATGAAGAAGGGGTTCAGCGACGAGCAGATCAGGTTGCTGGAGACCATGTTCGAGTCTGAGTCGAAGCCCGATCCAAGGAGGAAGATGGAGCTCGCGAGGGAGCTGGGGTTGGAGCCGCGGCAGGTGGCGATATGGTTCCAGAACAGGAGGGCTCGGTGGAAGTCGAAGCAGGTCGAGCAAGAGTACAGAGTGCTGAGAGCCAGCTATGAGAAGCTGTTGGCTGAGTTCGAGTCTTTGAAGACAGAAAAGCTGGATTTAGAGAAAGAGGTAGCACTGATCCCCTTTTTACTTAATTCCTGGCTAATTGCAGTTGATCCTTCTGATTATGGTCATGGAGAAATCACATCAGGACAAAGAATTTCGAAAAAGTGAAGAGATGGGTTGTTCTTAGTTCCAACATACTTGACTTCATCTCTTAGGAAATGATTGATGAAAGCGAAAACTCCAAATGATTTCAATCTTGAGCGTTAGACAGAATCAGCATGTACTATGACGTATGACCACCATAAGTGATCATTCCATAGTGCTTTAGGAAACGAGTTGTTCTGGATAAAAATATAAACCTCATAATAACAACTTTCTTTGGTCATTCACAGCTGCAGAAGCTAAGTGGTATGTTAGATAAAAACCAAGGTGGGGGCAGGATCTGCAGAGAGGCTAGCAATTTAGACGATGAAGATACTAATTGCAAGATCGAAGCCGACCCGATCGGGCTACACGAATCTTTCGATCGGAGTTTGATTGTCGCCTCACCTGACGACCAATTAAATGAGACAGAGAAGTCGTCGGAAGATGCGCGGGATTATCTAAGCCGGGACGAAGAAAATTGTTCCGTGGCACTGCCAGAGAAATGGAGCAACTTTGGTTCGAACGACATTTTAGACTATCCTTGCAGCAATGTGGCGCCGTGGTGGAACTTCTGGACCTGAGAAGGGGGCCGCCTAGGCGATTGAACTTTCGGGATTCAGTGTAACATGAATTCGACATGCATCGCGGGGTCTCAGCATTAGCTAAAACATTGTACAGAATGGGGTAGCTGGTGGGGTAAACGGTCCTGCTCGAACATAGACGAAGAGATCGCTCGGTAATAGGGGCATCGCAGATGAGGAAAGAAATGAAATGAATTCAGAGCTTCAAACATGGAGTTCCATTGTGATGGTAGTACAGTGGACATGTAAAAGACATGTTGAGGCATTTGCATTAGCAGTTGGTTCTTGCTGTTTTCTGCACGTATTTCTTGGCTGCTACCACCATTTCGCTAACCTAAAGAACCCCAAATAATCAACGAACAACGTTAGGGGCACTAAACTTTAACTAGATTCGATTTACTTGTCGCGTGCGACATATTCTGGTTAGCCAAAGTCGAATCATTCCTACGCACGCGATTCATCGCGCTGGGAGCATCTGGTGAGTTATCAGCAATCCATGGCCGACGTTCTTGAGGCGAATTTTGCTCGGGAAGGAGGCCCGAACGCTGTTACAAAACGTTTGTCTGGATCAAAACCTGGGTTCGAGCGTTAGCGTTTCGAATCAAGCCATTAATGCAACTTCCGATCTGATTACCGTCCTCTGGCTTGTAATCATCTCTCTTGTTCTCGATCTAGTCTTCAAATCGCGGCTTTCACCGGCATGTTGAAGATGCTTGCATGGCAATCTTTAACGTTGTTGCCGGACACCGGAATCACTCGCCGTACCTGATCATAAGATAAATCAGACTAGTAAGTTGGTCAAGTAGGGTTTCGACTTCATTTAAATCTCGCGATAAAAACAGTTAATTACCCACCTATAGAATACTCTATAATCTTTTCTTCCATATTTTTTTGGGTTAATATCGTGAAAAACCCAAACTGGTACATCAATGACAAATTTACCCCGAACTAATTTTTTGGACCACCAGAAACCTCAAACTGGTACACACGTGACAAATTTATCCTTCGTTAGTTTTCGTTAAATTTTACCGTTAAATTGCTAATAACACGTGATAGCTGACTAGTGTACCAGTTTGCAGTTTTACTCTCCGTTTGTCATGAGTATACCGGTTTGTGATTTTTCGTGTATTAATCCAATTTAACGGAGAGTAAATTTATCACAAATGTACAAGTTTTGTGTTTTTAGTGGTCAAAAAATTAGTTCGGGGTAAATTTGTTACAGAGGTTTTTCGTGGTATTAACCCTATTTTTTTTTTTTCAAAATTTGGATAATTACTCTTTACGTTCAAATAGATAAAAATAACTGATGAGTAGTGCAACCTAACGTGACAACAATATTGGTCAGGATAAATCCTCTGAAACCAAATTTAAGATAAATCAGAGAAAAGGGATTTATAATAGTTTTATTCTCTTATAAAACTCGGGGAATCCTAGGATACTGCTACTAAATTAGGAAACTTCTTCGTTAGTTTCTCTCTCTTTCCATCAAGAACCGCCAAACCAATCTCGGATATTTCCTTAATTAGATTGCCCATGATACTGAGTTTCCAGTTTCCTAGTTCTACTCGGACTCTTGTCCTCTCTCACCTGCAAATATATATAAAGGCTTGTCCCTGAACCATAAGTGACATTGCGATCGATTCAGAAGCGTCGAAGAAAAGATCGTTCCAAATCGATTGCTTTGCATCAAGAAGAGATCGTCTTCGATGGAGGGTTGGAGGGAACAGAGCAGATGGCTGCTGCGCCTCGAAGACTTCGCGGGGCATTCCATGGGCGAGACGTTCAAGTCGATGCTGACGGCGCTCGGCCGAGCGGCTCGAAGCAAACACCAGAGAGAAATGTCGTCCCCCCGCGGAGAAGGAGAGAACCGCGAGCCGGCGGCCACGGCTTCGACGGGCGTGCCGAGGGACGGAGAGATCATGGGAAGGCGAGGATGGAGTAACAGGTTGGGCATTGGTGACCCGGTAGGAGTAGGGGGAAAGAGGAAAGCGAGGGAGGAAACACTGTCTGGGGGCGCGCCGAGGGAAGGAGAGATTATGGGAAGGCGAGGATGGAGTAACAGGTTGGGCATTGGTGACCCGGTAGGAGCAGGAGGAAAGAGGAAAGCGATGGAGGAAACACTGTCTGCGGGGGACGCGCAGCGCCGTCGTCGACCCGGGAAAGAAGTTGTCGAGGAGGGTATTGGCTTCGCGGCTGGAATCGGCGACGAGGAATGGTGTTTGAGGGAAGAGAAGAGTCGCGGTACTGGGAGAAAGGTCGGCTTCACCGCAAAAGCCGGAGAGGGCAGTGGCAAGAAAAGCAAGGGGAGTTCGCCGGCCCCTAGTGATCCGCCGGCGGATATGCCTCAAGAATTCAAAGACCAAATTGATGGCATGGGCGGGAAAGAGGTCAAGCTGGTGATCGAGAAAGAGCTATCGCGGACGGACTTGGATAGACATATATGTCGCGTGTCTATTCCCAAGAACCAAGTCCGCGATCTGAGCTTTCTCAGAGACGAAGAGAACCGATTCGTGGAAGCGCAAAACGCGATGGATGTGAGCGTGATCGGCCCGAAGCGATCGCAGGTGTTGAAATTTGCGCTGGTGGAGATGGGCAGCAGGAACAAGGCGAAGCCGTCGTTGATCTACAACTTCAGATCCGGCTGGAACAATTTCGCGTCGGAGAATGAGCTGAAAGTACGCGACAGGGTCCAAATCTGGTCGTTCCGAGTCGATTCTGACGACTGTCGCGACAGGCTTTGCTTTGCTCTGATCAAACTTGACGACGACAGACGAAACGGCGGAGGAGACACGGGTCACGGCGACGGTAGCGATGAAAACAAAAACAACAACAGCAACAACAACGGTGGCGGTCCGAGCTCGGTTCCCGGTGGCTCGAGCTCAGAGCCTGGAAGCACCAGTACCCCCCAAGAAGGATTAGTCTGTGTGTCCATACAACATCAATTTGCGTTGATGGATCTTTGTCGATTTTGAACAATTATAAGTGTCGTTTTGATCTTTTCTAGGGAGTGTTTTCAGGGGTTCATTGCACTGATTTTTCGTTGGTATGGAAATAGCATTACCCCCTTTGGACAAGCTTTCGCGTTCGTATTCCCTAATGTTGTGCATCTACAAACTTTGATCGATGAAGACAGACTACCTTAAAGAAAACATGCACGATAGTGCCACCAAGGTGAGGCACCGTGCATAAATTACAGAAAAAGACCGAAATGAAAAGGAAACTAATTGCTCGATTTGGAACGGACGAAAAATAACATCGACACGGTTAAAATTTAGTACACGATATGATCACCGTGCATTAGGTGAAGCGTGCTCGTCTTTCTCGTTCGATGCCTCGGTTGGCATGTTTTCGCAAATTAATTGCATGGGGTCTATGCCAATTTGTTGCCAACTGACGGTCGGATGCGTCAACTTCGTAATTAAAAAATAAAAAAAACAGGTCAGGATATCATTCGAAGAACCGTCCTTGTAATAATATCCAAATGGAACCCGCGAATCCCCCCGTTTTCTGACCACACAATGAAAACAGAGCATGGAAGCGAGCGATGAGCTGAGCAGAAGCGAAGAGAGCAGATGGGAACGTTAATGGTGTCGTCCTCCACCCTGACGTTATCAACACCCACGAAGTATTTCAGCCCCTCGAGCTTCTTCGCTCCTCAAGGCGAGGCCTCTGTTCCTTCCTCGCTCTTCAAGTCCCTCAGGCCCCCTGCTTTCTGGCCATGGCAAAACCTGAAAAAGGTAAACGCGACCCGACGCGACGCGACGCGATGCCAGCTACTTTTCTTTTCTGTGAGAATTGTCTGAAGCATTTGGAAACTGGTGCTGGAACTAGGTGAAGATGGGCCCGCTGAGCGTGTCTCCGATGGGGTTTGGGACGTGGGCGTGGGGGAACCAGCTCCTGTGGGGTTATCAAGAATCGATGGACTCTGATCTTCAGAGGGTCTTCAATTTGGCCGTTGAAAATGGCGTCAATCTCTTCGACACAGCCGATTCTTATGGCACCGGTAGGCTGAATGGGCAGAGCGAGAAGCTCCTGGGGAAGTTCATCAAAGACCTTCAAGGTCTCTCTCTCTCTCTCTCTCTGTGGTATAGATGAAAGCGGACTGTGGAACTTTGCGCGTATGAGGGGATCGAATTGCTGTGCTTGAACGAGTGAAGCTTTGGTGTTGTTACCTGATCATTTCGAGGAGGATGACCCTTATATTGAGTCTTGTGATAAGCTGATTTCCTGTCTCAAGTGATTGGTATTAATGAGTCAGTAGAAGGTGGAGACCAAATGTTCATTCCATTGAAACGTGAAACTGCATGAAAATGTCAACTGCAATATTGAGAGATATCAGCTCCATGTAAATGTAAGATTGCATCACACTTGCAGATTTCTTGTTAAATCGAAATCTCAACAGAAGTTCTCCGAAAGTGCTTTGCGCAGTTAGTTTTTTTTTCTCATCCAGCTCATCCAACTGGTCGGATCGGTTCCATGGCATTTGTAGGGAACCAGCAGGGACAAGACGAGATCGTGATCGCTACAAAGTTTGCTGCCTACCCCTGGCGACTTTCGCCAGGTCAGTTCGTGGACGCGTGCAAGTATGTTGCACTCACCTTTTATGCTCTGTGAAAAAGGCAATGCTCACTTCTTCAGTACGGTGACTCAAAAGAATGAGGGAGCGTGGACGGAGGAGGAAGTCCCCAGTCCTCTCCGTCTTCTGAAGAGGAATCGTGACGAGTATGCGGATCGTTTCAGGGCCTCTATGGAGAGACTGCAGATCAAGCAAATCGGAATTGGACAATTGCATTGGTCGACTGCAAATTATGCGCCACTCCAGGAGCAAGCCCTGTGGGATGGTTTAGTGGCAATGTATGAAAAGGTTATCATGATTCACTATAAGCCGTGAAATCTCTCACAGTTATGCCGTACTTTCGAGTTCCTACAATTTGCCTTGATGATTCAGGGTTTGGTTCGAGCGGTCGGGGTGAGCAATTACGGACCAAAGCAGCTAGTAAAGATTCATGAGTACCTCACAGCCCGAGGCGTTCCTCTAAGCTCTGCTCAGGTGAATGTATACCTCTAGATAGAATTTGTTACTGTTCCAAGTCACTGTCCATTAAAGCTTTCCGAGATGGCTTTTGAGGAGCTCATCATCGAGCAGCAATCGGCTCTCGCTTAGACTATGGATTGTAATTACGTTTGTGCTCGCAGGTGCAGTTTTCATTGCTTAGCATGGGAGAAGATCAGTTTGAGATAAAGAAGATATGTGATTCTTTGGGGATCCGTTTAATTGCTTATAGTCCTCTGGGACTTGGAATGCTGACAGGAAAGTACACACCTTCCAAACTACCACGGGGTCCCCGGTATGATAGTTTTATTACTTCACCTTAAGATGTTGGTAAAGTGACTTGGGTAAAAATTGCTTATGCATGCGACTATCTTCTCATGAATGGCATATTCGTCGCAGTTCGTTCCTGTTCCGACAAATTCTTCCTGGACTGAAGCCCTTGTTATCTTCGCTAGAAGATATCGCACAAAGGCGGCGAAAAACCATACCTCAGGTAAATTGCTTTACGTCTTCTTTCTTGTGGATTCTTGACATCCGGCCTTCTTGTGAGATGGCCAATATCAAAATTAGATTGCACAATTATTTACCTTCTCTTTCTGTGCTGCTCCTGTCCCCTGATCTTATCCCTGACATTTCTTTGCCGTTGGTTGGTGACGTTGGATTATTCTGTGAACAGGTTGCTATAAACTGGTGCATCCGTAAGGGCGCGATTCCGATACCTGGAGTTAAGACAGTGGTGCAGGCCGAGGAAAATTTGGGCGCTTTAGGTTGGCGCCTCAGTGCCAGTGAGATTCTTCAGTTAGAAAACGCAGCAGAAGAATCTCCGAAGAAAATGATCCAAAACATCTTTCAGACGAGGTGAAACTTCAGCGAGGTAGTGACTGAACAGCACTATTTGCTAAAGCATCAGCTCATCTGAAGTTGGATGGGCTAAATGTGATCAATCAAGCACAGGAATTTCTCATAGCGGGGGAATGGAAAGGCAATGGTAACGAGCTCATATCCGCTGTAGCTGATGAGATATCGACAATGACGTCAATGTTGACGGGTAGAAGAAACGTTTCAAGAAGGGTCGTGCCTCCTCCTGTCTTGCTAGTTTTGAGCACTGGCATTGCCTCTGGACATGGCTTGTTTAGTTGTTTTGGGGCCAACTTTGCACGCGGTGTGTGATTGTGTGGGTGCGTGCGTCCCTCTTACCTTCAATTTTCTTTTTCCGTTGGCACAACCTTTCTCGTTGGAGATAGTTGATCAAGAGAATAATAGATTCACTTGTGAATGTGCTCATGGTTGCATGGTTCTCAATATTCATTATTCATCGATCAAAATGATATCCTCGATTGCAAACAACAAAATTCCGAGAAAATAGTACACAAGAAGGGAAATCTTGGATTGAAACTACCAACAGGTTGAATCAAATTGAAAAAAGATGCAATGTTCAAATGCTGGGCACAATGTATTGCCAGTGACTAATACCGGTAACCAAAAAACGTTCTGCTTCTCACAATATCTATTGAAAAACTAAAAGCTTTCAAGTCAAAATCCACCAAGCAAAACACATGCCAGAGCCCTTCAAAATCAGCAATCTACTTGATCTTCTTCTTTGGCCTCAGCTGCAATTGAAGAGAAGGGGAGGCAAACATTTCAGCCCAAAAAAAATAGAGAAATGAAATGGAGAGACACCAAAGCAACTGAATGGAATTACTGAACAATCTACCTGGTTGCTGTGTCCGCACTTCTTTTTCCTGCAGTTGACAGCGCGAGGGTGCAGGCGCGCATAGCATCTGTAGCCCAGAAGCGTTCAGCATTGACAATTCGAAGCAACCCAAATATACATTTTATTTTACTAAAGACTAATGCATCTAACTAAGGAAACTACACGGAAACATTGTACTAGGCCAATGGAGCTAGAAAGATGCCATCTTCGGCGGTCATTTTATGAATTGCAGTTTCTAAGAACTATCTTTACTGATTGATTATTGTTGAGGGAAGCAAAGAAGAAGAAACTTCTAAATATGATAGGTGAATTCGATCTTTTCCTTGAGAAACTAAGGCACAGTTAAACAAGTATATCATTTCGCACCAAGATTTACTGCTCTCAAGCATGTCAGACACCAAAGTATACTTCTACTCACATCAAGCAAATGCACGGAGAGATACCCAGTGAATTAGCAGTTGCAACCATTACGTGTGGAATCATGCCTTATGTGTCATGCCAAAACTATACTTACTTGCGGCATATCATCTTGTCCTGGTTGTATTTTCTGGCCAGTGCCATCAACGAGGGCTCGATAATGCCTCCTCGAAGCCTTAGAACCAAGTGCAAAGTTGATTCTGCACAATGCAACAACAAGGATGATTAATCCATTCGTTTTAAACAGGTAGAAAAAGGGCACTTATTTGCAAAATCCTTCTTGTAGCTGACTAGCCATGGCCAGTTAGACGCCAACACACAGTGAATTGTGGTCACAAGTATAGTTCAACAAAAAATCTCTACATACTCAAAAACTATTTCTAACCCTGATTACTAATTGCCGTGTTTTCATCGAGTTACACATGATACCACTACTGCCAAGCAAAAGAATCAGTTGCAAAACCAAGGATTTGAATCCCTTTATTGGCATGTTGCGACACCGAGGAGATTATCTTGTAAAAGAAACCGTAGATCCACTTTGTTATATCTGATCATTTATTTTCAACCAACAACAAACGTCCTTTCCTCGTGTATGAAAAGGACAGATTTGCGAGAAAACTTCCTCAACCTTCATTGTCCTCAAACACAACAGAGATTATAGCAGAACATATCTACCTTAATTCGGAGCTTAGAACACTGCAATCATCACACACCTAACATATAAGATTCTACGCACCGATCCTCCAAAGTTCGACACCTTTAACAATCAGCTCAAGCTCCACACGGCTCCTAGCGGCCGATTCACTACGCTACGTATCTAGCCATCTAAAAGCGCAAACAGCAAGCAAGCTCAGGTTCAGGACGAGCGAACCTTTCTGGATGTTGTAATCAGCCAGCGTGCGGCCATCGTCGAGCTGCTTCCCGGCGAAGATCAACCTCTGCTGGTCCGGAGGGATTCCTGACAAAGCACTCGAAAGAAGCGCCGAACGTCAGGCGCCTGCATACAGGTATCGATCGAGAGCTCGAGGATCGGGGGATTCGCGTACCTTCCTTGTCCTGGATCTTGGCCTTGACGTTGTCGATGGTGTCGCTGGACTCGACCTCGAGGGTGATGGTCTTGCCGGTTAGGGTTTTCACGAAGATCTGCATTTTCGCGCGGCCGAGAGACGCTTCTGCTGTGCCAGCTCCCGTTGCCGAAGGTTTGAGCTTCCCTTTTTATACGAGGCGATTGCGAGGTCGTTAGGGTTTTGGGAGTTAGGCTCTGTTTGGTTCTTGGGTTTGGGATATCCTTGCGAGGGACAGCGGGTTCTTCCCTTTCACCGCCGTGCCGGGATAGGAACAAACCAATTGCCAACCGGTCCCTTTCGAAGTCATCTTTTTCGTTTTCTTTTTCTCAATAAAGTAAACAATTAAGGAATGTAAAAATGGGACGAGGTGGAGATGAGGCTTTTTTTTTTTTCACTTTAAGAAAAAAGTCAATTCATAATCAACCGGTCGCTTTTCTTTCCGACTTTTAACCTTCGTTGATTTTATACGTGATAGTGAATAATTTAGTTTATTGTCAAACACAACGCGATGAATACAAGAGTAAAAGTAATCTTAACACAAGATATTCATCATTTGTCTTTGCAAGAAATATTTGGCATGGAATACTTCACGACCTTTACCAGAGAAGTAGTAAAATTAATAATGTTTGTGATGCAAATTAGTTGTATATATGTAAAATATAACATATCAAAAAATACTTCAATCAAAGATTGATAGAAATACGTATTAAAGAAAATTTGCAAGTTACGTAGATACTTATAAAAATACATAATGCAAAGGAATAAATATTAAAATTAAAACACACGAGAGATGACGAATAATGAAAATGAGTAATATATGCAAAATCAGTGATTGATAATATTTGAGGAAGGAAAAAAACGTTGATTCGGATGCCATAATTACTTTATTTAATCTTGTAGATGACATAACAACTTTAGCGATTAGAATTAATGTTCCAATAAAGTGTTTTTACACAAAAAATTGTTCATAGATTATGTGAATCTAGATGCCTAGTTTCCTTAATTTTATGACCGAAATGCCCCTTTCTTTCTAGGGAAAAGTTTCAGAAAAGTCATAAACATTTTGCATTAGCGCCAATTGAGTCCTAAACCTTTTTTTGATGTCAATTGAATCCTAAACTTTTTGTCTTTGTGCCAATTCAATTCTTCCGGCAAATTTGGTCGGATTTTGGTGACGTGGACGCTGACGGGGTTATGTGGCACTGCTGGCGCTGACGTGGACGACTTTTAATAATATATTTAATATTTTTAAAATTTTTACTTTTTTTTTCTTTTTTTTTTCCTCCAGCTGATCGCTAGATCGACGACCGACCTCTGGTGAGCCACGCCAACCACTGGTGAGGCTTCACCTCGCCAAAGGGCATGAGGTCATGGCCTTCGTCCTCGTGGCCACTAGTGAGGGCTGGAGCCTCACCAGCAGCTGGGCGAGGGCGAACCTCGCCAGCCTAGTGCGAGGCCACCCACACGGCCATCCGGCGAGGGCGAGCCTCGCCTGTGGCTGGCAAGGCGACCTCACCGGCCTCTGGCCATTGGCGGCCGGCTGGAGAAGGAAGGAGAGGAGGAAAAAAAAAGAAAAATTTAAATATATTATTAAAAATTGTCTACGTTAGCGCTGGCGGCCGGCCAACTAGTGTTCACATCAGCAAAATCCGGCAAAAATTAGCCGGAAGGACTGAATTGGCACAAAGATAAAAGATTTAGGACTCAATTGGTACCAAAAAAAGGTTTATGATTCAATTGATACAAATACAAAAGGTTTAAGACTTTTGTAATACTTTTCCCTTTCTTTCTATCACTAAATCCAAAGAAGCCTTTGAAATTCACAAGTAAGGTGAGTCTATTTAAAACTCAAAATTTAGAAAATATTTTTCAAAAGATGATTGATTATATCGTTTAAAAAAATTAGTGAACAGAAAATATTTTAATTATGAACAGCAGTTTATACCTAATATTTTCGTGGGTAATGAAAATATTTTTAATTAATTTATTTTTATAAGTAATACAATTCGTTGTTTTTTGAAAAATATTTTTTAAAGTTTGCATTCTAATTTAAAAAAATAAAATAAAAAACTAAACATTCACGCTCCCCTCCCACGTGTCACCAGGATTCTCGCCGGCCATCATCGTCCGTATCGCCGGTGACAACTACACCTCTTCGGCCCCCCACCGCCACCACCGAAAAGTCAGCCACCAAACTCGCCAACCACCCATAAATTTCCACTTCGCGAATGGCCTCCCTCTCCTCCTCCTCTCTCCGCTCCTTCTCCCCCGGACGCCGCCGCCTCCCCCTCTCCCCGCGCGCCGCGTCGCCGCCGCTCCTCCCGTCCCGATCGCCGCCGAAGCGGCTCGCCTTCTCCGTCGCTCTCGGGGGCCGCCTCTCCCTGACCGGCGCTCGCTCGAGGAGCCTCGTCCCCAGGGCGCGATCCTCGATGGCCGGAGCCGCGACCGAGAGCGGTAGGAAGAAGGTGGTGGAGGTGTTCGACACCGAGGAGGATCTCGCGGTTTCTCTGGCGAAGTACACCGCCGATTTGTCCGCCAAGTTCGCCGAGGAAAGAGGAGCGTTCAGCGTCGTCGTGTCCGGAGGTTCGTTGATCAAGTCACTCAGGTTTGGAGCTTGATTTTCATTGATTCTTCTGTGTGTTTGCGGAAATAACTTTCTTGATTCCGAGGGAAATTTTCTAACTTTCGCTAGTTCAGTTGCTCGTGGTGGGGAATTGGAGGAGTTATTGCTAAACCGAATAATCAGCGAGTGAGGAAGGAGGAGGAGAATTATGAATGAGGAAGATTACAACTTAGTGAAATTTTCGGTGGAGGAATCGTGGGAAAAAAACGAAACTTTACAAGTTTATCTGGCTGAAGATAGGTGCGTTTGGTCGGTAAATAAGAGTTTTTTTGAACTGCTGATGGAGATTCAGGCGACCATTTGTTTTGCCTTTGGGGGTGGTTGAGCTGGTTTAGTGAGCAAAACCGAGATTTCTGAGGCATTGTGCTTGACTAGATTTTGAAGTTGGGCTCTTTCAGCTCCAATTAGCTAATCATCTTGGCATAAAGAATTAGAATCATCACTAGTTTGGCTTGATTGGAGTGTCGTTTGATTATGTGTCATTCATTTACTTTACACTGGAAAGAGCTTGGCTCATTGTTTGAGATGTATTTCAGGAAACTGGTTGAAGCGCCGTACATTGATTCGGTGGACTGGTCGAAATGGCACGTTCTCTGGGTGGATGAGAGAGTTGTGCCTAAGGATCACGATGATAGTAACTACAAGCTTGCTTATGATGGCTTTCTATCACAGGTGTGTCTATTTTTTGTAAAGGTCCGAGCATTTTGGAATGTCATTTACGCTACTCCAAATGCAAAGGTCATGCTCTGATGATGTGTGTGGATATGCTTGTTCCTGTTATTCCTCTTGGTAGATCAGCTGAAGACATGTCTCGTCATTTAGATTGTGCAGAATGTCACAATTGCATGTAGCTTTTTCATAAAGTTTGATAGGGTACTCATTGCTTTTGAGCTCTGTTACTTCGAGGTGCATTTTTGCATTGAAACAGATCAAATGGATGAATTGGGGTTGAATAAGGCAAAGCAAATCCCGATCCGCTTTTTAAGGGGTCACTACTCCGACAATTTAAGAGAGAGCTCAGTCAACTAAATCAGTAGTGCATGATTGTTTATTTAGTTGATTGGGAGCGCTTAGTTACTTGGGTGTATTGGTGCACAAGAAAGTGGATGTGATGCATCTTTGATGATATGTCGTGTGCTGGTTTCTGTTGTTCGTAGTTTCCAGACCTAGTTGTTGGCAGATGTCTACAGTGGTTTTAATCTATTGGGTCATCTGTTTTTATCTATTTGACCTGCTATCAATGGCTATTTAGGGGCTTCATCTTATGCTTGATTAGCTTTGCATTTATAGTGATCAGGAAAAAGAAAAATTCTTGTGCGGCCTCGAAGGTTGAGATGTATGAAAACAGATATGGCACATTTCTTTGGCTGTAAGGGAGATCATTTTGAATTGTAAGATTCTCGACTGACCAGCCATTTTTCTTGCTACTTTCCCTGCTTTAGGTGCCAATACTTCCTGGCAATGTCTATGCAATTAACGACGCTCTGTCGGCAGAGGGTGCAGCGGATGATTATGAGACATGCATTAAGCATTTAGTGAAAAGCAGCATAGTAGCATCATCAGAAAGTGGGCTCCCAAAGTTTGATCTCATGCTTCTGGGTATGGGTCCCGATGGACATGTTGCCTCTCTTTTCCCCGGTCATCCTCTTGTCCACGAAAACAAGAAATGGGTCACCTTCATTAAGGACTCACCTAAACCACCTCCAGAGAGAATTACTTTTACCTTCCCTGTGATCAACGCATCTGCACACATTGCGCTAGTAGTTGCTGGAGCTGGAAAAGCTGGTGTAGTGCACGCTGCATTGGGTAATAGTCAATCTCCTGACCAATTACCTGTTGAATTGGTTTCGCCCGAGGGCGAGCTGACTTGGTTCTTGGACAAGGCTGCTGCTTCAAAGCTGTAGTAGCAGGCTTTGCTATGTTTGTGCGGTGTTTGTTCCTTTATAATTTAGGTGTCGAGATCTTACGGGTTCTGTACCTTTACATGTACAAGCTCCGGGATATGTTGATGACATTGCGCAATGATCAGTGAGGTTCTTGTGATCTGTCACAGGATCACAGCATCGATGTAATAAAACAGCGTGAACTCGATACATGCATTTTCCTTTGTAAACTGCTTCCTGTACTTTTGACTTATGTAACATAGTTTTGGGTTTTATCACGCCCGTTGTTCTCGCTTATTCTTGGCAGCCGATGCATGGGTTCCGATTCATTGTCACTACGGTGAACACCACTGTGCATACAGTAGATGGCTACCAGATCCAGCCATTCTGGAGCTGTTCAAAAAGCCTTTCAAGCTCCATCTGATGTCGAAGAACTCTTTACCATTCTTCGCGGGACGGCATGTCCATTCTCATCTCCTGCCTACTGCACTTTGATCAGTGATGCGTGGAGGTCGCTCGCATATTTAAAGACAAATCGATTTCTCACGGGGCTATAGCCATGCAATTGGCAAAAATTGTCTGACCAAAAAAAAAAAATCGGTAAAAATTGAAGCCTATAAAATCCGCTGCCGCGAGCTAATGCGCGACGACTGACTTCGTGCTTCGTACGCAAAACTGCTCAATCCACTGACGCCTCCCCACCATTTGCGCAGGCTTGTCCATCACGTTTTCAGTGACAAATCGGCCTTCGCCGTAAAAGGGTCAAAAGGAGAGGGCGTCCCCATGGCAATTAAGCTTCAAGAGTAGGGAGGATGATCCGTTGGCCGACCGGAACCAAAAGGAGAAAGACATGGAATCTTGCTGCCTCCGGGGGCTTCCGTCCCATGATTGTGTTGGTGTAGTGGAAAGCATTAGGTGATGCTAACGACACGGTGGAGAGAAGAGAGGCCCCGCTTCTCGATGGGGACCCCCCCTCCCCACCACTTCACGCATCATTAAATTTTCCTCCTAATCGATTTCATTAGCGCTAATGATGACGACCTAGCACGACCCAGCTGAAAAAAAGAGGACAAAAGAGAGGGTCGGGTCCGCATTTCGAATAAAACCGCCCCCTCTCGGAGGACAGAGCCCCCGCTTTTGACCTTTTGACCAGCCAAAAAAGAAGAGGGGAAAGCAATGCCCAACCCAAGAACGAAAAGAGGGACTTCTTGATGGGTCATCTCTCGTCTTGGTTATCCCACTCGCGACGCTAAGGCCTTTTGATTCTGTGACCGACCCTTGCCTGGGTTTCATCTCCGTTTGATGGAACGAATGGCGCTTTTCTTCCTCTCGTTCCTCTTCTTCGTGCTCGATGAACAGCGTGGTGGCGCCTGCTTTTGTTGACTCGGAAACCCGTAAGGGGAATGAATGGCTCCTAGCTGCTGAGTAAAGGGCGCTCGGGCAGAAAAAAGCTTCGAAAGCATCTCCGTTCGGGTGAGCGGTCGCTTTTTGGCTTTTGCCTTTGCCCCGACAAGGAGATGGCAAAAACATGCATCCACTTCAACTCTTCCGCCCTGCCCAATCCACATGAACTGTTCAAAAGGGAGGAGGGCAAAACAAACATGAATTAAAGAGACAAGTTTCTCCTTTTTCCGATCATTCGGCTCGTGGAACACGAGCTGTTGTTCTACGCACGAACCGACAACTCGAGGATCAGATTAGCCTCCCGGGCGGAGCTCGGCCGATGCATATTGGACATTTTCTTGATGTGCACGGATCACGGACGGTATGGTAGAGTCGGTGGGAAGCATAGGAAGGGAAGGGAAGGACATGATTTGCCCCATTCTCAAAAAACCAACCTCCCTCCTGTGCTTCAAAGGAATATGTAGACCATTCTTTACTTTTCACATTTCGGATGTCCTCCTTGTTTTGGTTAAGGAGTTGTACCGTAGAATGATCAATGATGAATTGGGTGAGATAGAAGAAGAGTTATCAGTTGATATTGAGTACCATGTGAGGCAATCCATATATAACTGCTTGCCAAGTGCGATCCGCCATCCATTCCGAGTCGAGAAACCTAAAGTCTAATGTTCCGATCGACCCGCGTGCGAAAGGAATGAGCCCGGGACAGGGAGTCTATTGGACGGGGTTCGGATAGTGGCGACTCTTGGAACAACCGGAGTAAGAAGTCTCCAACGTGAGGATATTTCGAAAGACCTTCGAGCACATCCGACAAAGATCAAGGGGGGCATCTCGTTGTTGCATAACTCGCGACGGAAGTCTCTTCATTTGATCTCCTCGAACATAATCATAGGCTCAAATAAAGTCAACGCGGTTTCCACGTAAAGACGCCAAACTTATTCTGCGCACCTTAACTTTCGACCTTCACACGAAAAGCAGGAATAAGGAATTTACACGCGGCCGAACTAATCAATCCCTCTTTTCGTCTCGTGTTATTTGACGGGGTTTCATCGTAGGTATTCGCAAACGTGAATGTCGTAAAAAAGCATTCGAAAAGCTTTCGATTTATTTAGAATAAAAACGAGAGTCGATTATTCTGGTTTTTTTCTATAGATTTAGATGCAATTCCGTCCATTGTCCGATTTTATATAATCATCATCATCATCATCTTCTTCATCTTCATCATCTTCATCCGTTGTGTCCAAACAAAGACAAAAGCTTCATCTCTCTCCCCCTCCTCTCTCTCCCCAATTTTTCCTTGGCGGCCAAAACGACGTCGTTGCGAGGGCAGCGCCTTCTCACTCGGAAGAGAAAGAAAAATATTTGCGCAGCGTAGATTCTCAAAGTCGCTTCGCTACGATCTACCCCCACAAACACGCGCGCGCACTCTCTCTCCTCTCTCCTCTCTCCTCTCTCTACGGAAACGGAAGAGACAAAGAGAAAGAAAAGCAAAAAAGAAGATCAAAGCGAAAGCAGTTGGGCTTCAGTCGTCGGCCAGTCTCTCTCCGCCCGCAAGAGAATCTCCCATCCGCCTCGAAGCAGCCGAGATCGCCATCGCCGCCGCCGACCGCCGCAGCGAACTCCTCCTCCTCCTCCTCCTCCGCCTCCGCTTCCGCCGCCGCCGCCGCCGTGGGGGGCAGGTCCGCGGTTTTGACCCTCCCCCCCCCAACTGCCCACTGCCATGCCCGACCTGCTCCCCCTACGACGACGACTCGGCGGCGGCGGCGGCGGCGGAGGCGGGTTCTGGTCGGCGGCGCCGCTCCCCCCGGCTCCCGCGGCGGCCCTGTTCACCGCCCTGGCCGTGCTCGCGGTGCTGGCTGCCGTGCTCTGCTCCGCTCGTAGGTAATCGGGGGTCGGTCGTGCGTCGGGAAGTTTTGATTCGGTCAAAAGTCGAATTCTTCCTGTGGAACCCTAGACACACACACCCCGGGAGAGAGGGAGAGAGAGAGGCTCGGGCTCGTTAGGTGGGGAGTGTTAGGGGGAGACCGTGTTGTTCGCGTGTGCATCACGTAGATGAAAGCTCTCAAGCGGAGCCACACTTCGTCTTCTTCGCACTCGTCCTCCCCTTCCTCCTCCTCCTCCTCGTCGTCTTCGTGGATCCATTTGCGTTCGGTCCTGTTCGTCGTAGCTAATTCGTCGCCAGCTTCCTGTTCTTCTTCCCTCGATAGGTGAGTCCCTCTCTCTCTCTCTCTCTAGTTTTATGTCGCTTTTCTGCTGTCTTTCAGATCTTGAAGTCCAAGTCTTGAATCTCAAAATCTTTTCTCTCTAGCTTCACTTCCGATTGCTTTCTATACTTTCCCAAGTTCTTCATTTCGTTAGTCCCGTTTTCAGGGAAATGTTTTCGGGGGCCGACTTTGGGGGAGATTGTTTAAATCGGAGTTACGAAGATGGATGCTGTTCTCTCTGTGACTAGGCTAGTGTAAATTTGCCTGTTGTTGCTTGGCTTTGATCGATCGAAGATCGGGTTTCATTCGAAGATTTGTGCGGTTTCATGGGTTCATGATCATGTCGTGCTAGTTCCGGTTATGGTGTTTGACTTGTTTGTTCCTTTTGGTTTCGTTCGAGCTTCTGTCAGTTTGTGATTTACGCGTTCTTATGCGTCTTCGGTCAATCGAAGTACTTATTAAATAGGTAATAACAGTGCATGAAATAGATGATGTTTTCCATAATTGGAAATTGTGGTAAGCCGATTGGCCATAAACAATGGAAATTGTTGGCAAGAAAGCAGGTGTTGGAAGTCTGAAAAACCTCGATTGCCATTTTGGCTGGAAGCATGTGTCCTGCGTGCTGTCGAATGGATTTTCCTTTGCAAAGGCGGTTACTTAGACTAGATTCCATCACAAGCACAGATGCTCCCTTTTGTTGTTTTTTTCTTTGTTTTTTCTTGGCACAAGTGCATGTGTTTGAAAACCTTCTGCTTAGATCAATCGTGTTCACACTGGCAAGCCAACTTTGAATGCTTTCTAGGTTGTCAATGCAGCTCGGAGAAATCTTTCCTATTAAAAAGACGATCAAAACCTGTCAATTTATTGAACCTATATTACCAAATGGATGCAAGGGAACGCAACACATAAAACCGAACTAGCCAACCAACGTTTGCATGCTTCGTTGAAATTTTTGTGCCGTGTGGGTGCTGCTGTACACTTGGCTTATCTGAGAATGTCATTATCACTTGTAATATGTTTTCTCCCCATATTGCTTCTTGCCCTATAATAAGTGCTAGTCCATTCTTATGGTGTTATGGCTCGAGGTCCCTTTTTAGGGTGGTCTTAGTTTTTGGATTTGCCCATTTTCCTTGATGATCACTGGAAGCCCATTAGGATTGTTGAATGCTTTTGGTCCTTGCTTTCTCCATGAGCACTCACTTGGAATATATATATATATATTGCAAAACGGGCTATAGGGAAACCAAGCATCTGTTTAGCTTGTACAATTTACTCTTGCTTGCTCATCTTTATGCTGTTTTCTTTTCTCCCCCTTCTTGCATATGCTAATTTTGCCTGTCATCAAAATCAGGGGCCGCCTTAAATCACCATGGTCTCGCCGAAAAAGGAAACATGCACTCTTGCCCAAGCAATGGAGAAGTTTGTATACACCCGATGGGAGACTTCGAGATGGTGGAGTCAAGTTTCTCAAGAAAGTTCGCAGTGGAGTGAGTAATCAAGTCTTTCTAGGGATATTTGTCAAGAAGTATGTAAACTGTATCGTTAATGTACATAACCTGTGAGCTAAAAGTTCATATCCTTCTCCAGGGAATTCATCCAAGCATTAGGGCAGAGGTTTGGCCTTTCCTTCTTGGAGTGTAAGACAGATTCTTGATACTCTCGAATTTAATTTTCACGGAGTGTGCTAATTTCAAATTGGAGTTCTTGTGATATGAGTTATGAATTTGAACCTTTGAAGATCTTTATGGCTTTCCCTCATTAGATCTATGCACATTGGCATTGATATGATTCTGTAGAACTTTTCCTTCCTTATCGACAAAAACATTTTTGCCTCTCTTAAAAGTGATACTTCTGAAGTTCTTTAGTTTCTGTGATATTGGTCGTGTGTTCTGTATCAGCAGTTTGTACCTTTACGACTTAGGATATGGTAACAGTAAATTTCTGTTCATTTTGCTTCCTTTGCTATCAGGTATGATTTGAAAAGTTCTAAAGGAGAGAGAGATATGACAAGGACCCAAAACAGGTGCTTTCCCTCTTCAATTTGAATCTGGTCATTGTTTCTGTGACAATCCTTGTCCTTGTACCATTAATGCAACTCCGTTTAATTGGCATTTTGCTTGCCATTGTTCTTTGCAGGAAGAAATATGAAAAACTTCGAATGCAATGCCGTCGGTTGATGAGGCAATTTGATGAGAGCTTCAGCAGCAGGCGATATAGTGGGCGGCTCATTCAAGACACATATTCTCCTAGCTCTGAAGAAGTGGAAAGTGCTAGGGAGTCCCTATCTAGTGGGGAAGGCGGCCCAGATAGTGGGTGCTTGGATGATTCTTCTAGCAAATTGTTGGAAGGAGATGACTCTTCAAGAAGAGTTACAAATGCTGATACCTCTACATTGAACACGGACTCATCAGATACGGACTCATCAGAGGATGTTGAAATAAATGATGCATCTTTCTCTTTAGAGACTGGGGATGATGATCCCGATACACCACCCAAAGAGAACCTCTCTCCCTCCAGGACAGAAGTTCAATCTTCCCTCCACACTGATGAGGACTTTGCCACATGGCAGCGGATTATCCGCTTGGATGCAGTGCGTGCCAACCCAGAATGGATACCGTACTCCCCATCTCAGGCCACAGTATCAGAAGCTAGGGCTCGGCGTTCTGCCGAGGCTGTCGGTTTGAAGGACTATGATCATCTTGAGCCTTGCAGAATTTTCCACGCTGCTCGACTAGTTGCAGTTCTTGAAGCCTATGCCCTTTATGACCCTGAAATTGGCTATTGCCAGGGTATGAGTGATCTTCTTTCTCCAATAATTACTGTGATCACCGAAGATCACGAGGCTTTCTGGTGTTTCGTTAGTTTCATGAGGAAGGCCCGGCATAATTTTAGGCTCGATGAGGTGGGCATAAGAAGGCAGCTCAATATTGTATCCAAAATTATCAAATCCAAGGACTCTCACCTTTACAGGCACTTGGAGAAGCTCCAGGCAGAAGATTGTTTCTTCGTTTATAGGATGGTGGTTGTACTATTTAGAAGGGAATTATCCTTTGAACAAACAATTTGCCTCTGGGAGGTGATGTGGGCCGACCAGGCCGCTATAAGGGCTGGGGTCGGGAAATCGGCATGGAGCCGCATAAGGCAGCGGGCCCCACCAACAGAGGATTTATTGCTCTACGCGATAGCTGCTTCGGTTTTGCAGAAGAGGAAATTGATCATAGAGAGGTACAACAGCATGGATGAGATACTGAGAGAATGCAATAGCATGGCTGGGCACCTTGATGTGTGGAAGCTTTTAGATGATGCACACAACCTGGTGGTGACCCTCCATGAGAAAATAGAAACTTCTTTCCGATGATCAGTTTGTGGATTTGATTTTTGGCTAATTGTTTATGTGGTTTTCTACTGATCTCGGGACTGGAGCAATGAGCACCCGGTTCCGTAGCTTATACCGCCTGTTTGTCATGGCTTTACATTATCAAGGCTTGAGGAAGTGGCAGGGGCAAACATTAGATAGGGTAGACATCTGCAGCTATGCTATAAATTACTACTGTTTGCATCTGGTGCGACAGCCGGCAAGAAGATGCCTCAATGTATTATTCTCAGTGACAAAACCTCTTTAGTCTGAAAGAGCATAGCCGTGTCTGCTTCCATCAAGTCTGTGAGATGGAAAGCATAAAATTCAGATTTGTAGAAGAAAGACATGGTGGCAACTTTTTATTTTTCCTTGCAGATTTTCAGATTTGGCTCGCAATAGTTGAACTTGAGGCTTCTCTTATTCTTCTCTGCTGATATTTGGTCAAGTCTTCCAAGTCCTAACGTCTAGACCTATCACTTAAGTCCCCATAGTCGGATTCTCATCGGTCTGTGACGTGATGATGCTTGTGTGATTCTCCTAGTTGGTAGCTGTGCGATCAGCTTAACACAGGGTACTTGGTTCACATAGCTAGAGTGATAAAAAGAGAGTTGCAAAAGGAGTGCTAACTTTTTAGGTTGTTTGCCAACGTTTGAAGCACCATTGCAGCTTCTCAATAATTGTTTCACCCAGTTTCATACAGTGCCAACTAACTTTCTCCAGCAAAAGAAATGGGCATTGGCATCCTAAATTTCACCTTTCATGATACTGTCGAACAACATAATCATCGACTTGGTTATGTTGTTCCTTAGTGTCACTCCAACTCAACAACAATCGTCATCCGGATCACTTTAACATATTGGACGAGTAAAGCGATAAGAACATTCTTTGAAAGAAACTTTTCGAAGAAAAATTAACAAAGTGTGCACGGAAAATGACAGGTCCAAACTGAAACAGAACATTGGGTTCGAGAGAATGACAGGTCCAAACTGAAACAGAACATCGGGTTGAGAGATAGGGAAAGAGAGAGAAGTCGTTCCGACAACAGCAATGGGGGCTCACCAATGACATTTGGGTCTCGACAACAAACTGACTGCTGTTACAGAACCCCAAATTATGATTCTCGGCTATAATTCTTCAAACTAGTAAAGATAATGCAAGACAAACAGTTCACTCCTCATGTGAGGGGGTATCTCCAAGCAGTAGTTCCCAGTCCTACTCTTTCTTTGTGTAGTGCCGCACGACAAATGCTAAGCCCAAGATCAGAAGAGGAACGAGAAATTGCAAAATCTTGATAATAAATTCCGTAGTCTTGTCCTGATTGTAATTGGGTTGCTGCGGGGGGATGTAAGTGCGCTTGGCCGGAACAGTTGATACATCAATCTCACCAATATAGTACTTATCCATCATTTCTCTAGCTGAATCGCTGTGGCCAACATCTTCGAAGTCATTCGTTGCATCTTTTCCTGCAATTTGTGGGAGCACACACCACGCTCAGCCAAGACAAGGCGATAAATATAAGGAAATAGTAAAACTTAAGGCAGATTTTGTTTTTTGCCCTCCAATCTTTCACTTTTCTCCTTATACATCCTCCATCTTACTCATAAACCTATACTGACTGTGTTCAAGCTACCACTTTCAGAAAAAAGCGGCTTAAAGTTTTCTAACGCTTTTCCTTTCAAGGGAGGATGAAGAATTAAGTAAGATGAAATTGTTCCATACCAGTAGCAGATAGCAAAACTTCATCTCCTCCAGGATGATCATCCATAAATGGCGTTACATCATATACCTGCAATAGTATATAGCAGTTTCTATCTGAGTAATGATTTTAACCACCAAAAGTGGCATTTTCTTTTCCATCACAGAGCACTCAGCCGATTTTGTGATGGTGTCTGGAGCACTATAAAGGAATGTGACAGAGAGGATCCTCATGGTTAAACCTCTTCAAGTACAAATTATCTGACCTATAGGCAAGTGTATGAAAATGAAGGCGAGGGGAAACCATTTCTTAGAGCCACCTAGATATTATGCCTATGAAATTGTAAGGCAAGTAGCCTATTAGATGGAGAGAGAGAGAGAGAGAGAGAGAGAGAGAGAGAGAGAGAGAGAGAGAGAGAGAGAGTCTACATTTGACAAGATTCGTACATAGTACTCTCTGTTGCAAATCTGAATCATAGACAAAAGGCTTGTTTTCCAATATGACCTGAATGCGTATATCATTCATCAATGTCTATGTCTTACTGTTGATGCCCGGCATCAGACACTTAGCATTATAGCATCATCTCATGCTTCAGCAATGGACTTATAAAGGCACTCCATCAATGGAATTTCTTGTGAGAACGAAAAGAGCTATCTGGATCCTTCGTTCTCTTATGTATTTTTTACCACATCATATACGAAACTCTAAGTATCTTCTTGCCGGACTACATACAACAATTTCATGATTCATGTCTTGTTTTCCTACTAAAACTATGTCGATTGACAACTCGATAATTGACAAGAAGATTATCAAACTTGAAAACTCATTGCCTTAACTACTTTACACAAGACAAACATCCAAAATATATCAGCTGTGATATGCACAATCCTGGTCAGTTTCAAGCGAAGAAAGTTCACTCACTATTCACCCACAGCAGACGGATAACACCCAAAAAAACAAACCATGCTAAAAGGGCGCTGCAAATAGATTTCAGAAAAAAACAACTTGAGGAGCTAAAGTTCCTGAATTTCAGAACTCGGTCTAGCACAATGCAAAACTCAACCGACCCTCTAATAACTCTTTACTTCTACAATTGAAAAGTCAGTGCTTTAGCAATTAACAATCCAAAAATGCAACACACAAGCGATCACAAATCCGGTCGAGGGAGATCTGATTCTGACCTTCCCCGCAATAATAAGCCAGCAATCCTTGGTTTTGTCGTGCTTCTCGACCTCCTCGAATGCAAAGAGCTTTCGGTCCGAAGCCATTATTCAGCCGCTACCGATCCAAAAAGCACGAAAAAACTTCAATTTTGCACTGAATCAAATAACATATTGTACTAATCAAATGAAAAATAAGCGACAAAGAAAAAAAAAAACAAAAAACAACCCAAAAGAACCAAAGCCCACAACATCTTCATCAAGTCTAATTCTGAACATACGAGTGAAGTCGATCAAGAATTTAATTAGCGCCAAAAAAAGGTTCAACTCGTACTGAATCTTGCGTCATGTGGTGCCAGTGAAATGAAAAGTGAGTGACTAAGGAAAAGAAACCCCCCAGAAACGCATAAACCCCGCGATATCTACATCTAGTCCACCTCAAAACAACACACGCAAGTGGAACTGCATCAAGAAAATAATCAGCACCAAAAGCACAGATCTTGGATCAGAATCATCAGCAGACAGAGCAACGGATCTTGCCCCAACTTACGCAAGAGAAAAGGGTCTCCGGAAGACGTATCGGAATTCGCTTCGCCCCCCTACTCTTCTCTCTCTCTCCCTCTCCCCCTCGATCTTGTCGCAGCCTGTCAAGCTCAAAGGCACCCCGAAAACACACGACGCCCTGCGGTTTTATACGCGGCCCGGTTCTTTGCCCCGAAGTGTCCGAAACGCCCCTTCCGCTTCCAGACAACATGCGGCGGTGTTCTCCAGATGCTGGAGTTGGGCAGGGGGCAAATGCGTCCTGAAGCGAAACACCTATTGCTCTTTGCTTGTATTTTCTCTAAAGCTCCATTCGTTTGGCGGAAAATATTCTTCTTTTGGAAAATATTTTCCCGAAAGTCATTTTCCTGGAAAATGTTTTCCCGGAACATAATTTTCCGGTGTTCGGTGGTCAATATGAAAAAGTTTCGAAAAATATTTTTCGCTGGCGGCGGCGGCGACCGGCGGCGAGGGTGCGATCGGCGGCAGGCGGCAGCAATGGCGGCGACCGGCGGGCGGCGACCGGCGGCGGCGACGGCGTGGCGAGGTTTGCACGCGGCAGGCGGCAATGGCGGCGACCGGCGGCGGCGACGGCGGAGGCGGGCGGCGCCGGTGGCGACGACGGCGACCGGCGGCGGCGAGCGGCAAGGGCAGCGGCGGCGCGGCGGCGGCGGCGGCCGGCGACCTTAGTGAGAAGAAGAAGAAGAAGAAGCAGCCCGGAAAATGATTTCCGCTTTTGAAGAAGCGGAAGTAATTTTCCATGACTTAAGCTATTTTGTGAGGGGAAGGAAAATATTTTCCCACGAAAACGTTTTCGCCCCGAACACCGGAAAACCCGGAAAATATTTTCCGGGAGAATATTTTCCGCCAAACGAACGGAGCCTAAATAGTTCAAGATTTCATTTTCAAAAAAAAATAAAAATAAAATTTACCTAGCTTAGCTTGCCATCCAATTAATAAAAGAAAAATAAGAATATGGTCATTTCTGTTCTGCGATTTGCTCTGTCAAAAGGGTAGTAATTATCGACCTAACTTTAGGTACTTTGGAAGAGTCTCGGTCTTTGGATGCCTGAACAGAGCTTTTGTGCTAACTTTTGTCGTTGGCGCTGCTGCCGTCCATGTTTCCTTTTCCTCTTCTTCTTCTTAACGTACAGAGAATGTTAAAAAAAAAAAAAAATTAAAAACTAGGATCCTGTGCTAGGTGGAGAAAGGAGAAAACAGGACCAGATGATATTATAAGTTTCATGAAGACTGACTTGCGTGCACGATTAGGGGTGAGGATGGTCCGGATTAGGTCGGTCCAACACGTAACTCTAGGACCAATCTGCATAGTATTGGTTCTCAAGTTTTGAGACCGAGGATCGATCCTATTAAAGCTTGGGACCGAGGCCTGGACTGACCCCCTGGGTCCGATCCGGTCCCAGGGTCAACCCGGGACCAATCGATTTTTTTTATGTTTCATTTTTTTTATTCATTGAAAGGATAAACGGTACACTTTGAAAATATATATCCATTGACAATGTAATATTGAGTAACCAAACTATGGACCCCGTGCAAATCAAATAAAAATCTAAGACAACGCAACAACAAAAATCTCCACTTAGTAGTATACGAACACGTGAAATGAAATTAAAAAATAAAATGGTCAAAATACATAACATAAACCATCAATTATACAATTTTGTATTTTGTTCATTCTCAAATTATTGCTTCAATTTCTGAACACTTGAAAACAAAACAATCAACTTCATATCTTGTTCGTGAGATGCCGAGGACGGCCGAGGCGACCTGCGTTCGCCATTTGTGAGGCGCCGAGGCGGGCCAAGAGAGGCAAGCTAGTTCGTGAGGAGAGCGAGGAGAGGCAGATATAGCGAACGGTCATGGAGAAGCGAGGGAAGAAGAGAGGCGATGCTCAATAGTCAATAGAATTTCTATTTTCAACGCCAGAAGAAGAGGAGAAAAGGCCTTAGGCTCTTTGGAAAACAAATATATGTATATAGGGTTGGTCCGGGTTGGATCAACCCTAAACTCTCAAGATCGAGGATCAACCCACACAATGCAGGATCCAAAGATCCCAGAACCAATGACTGACCCAGTCCCCTTGGGAATCGAACCAGGACCGGCCGGTCCAGGGTCGATCCAGGGTCAACCCTGGACCGTTGCTCACCCCCATGCACGATTCACTAATATATATTGCTCCAAAAATCAAACTATGATTCTTCCATTTGTTTGACTCGTTCTTAGTCGCACCACTTTTTCTTTATGCTAAAATCTTGGTCCCGCCGCTCGTTTCATTTTGCTTGTGTATTTTTCTGTTGTCGGGCTCTTTTGAGAGTGCTCCAAAAGGATAATAGGGTAAATGACACAAATGATCCATTAACTTTTGCCTGATGTGCAATGTGATCCATGTACTTTAAATTTGATTAATGTGGACCCCAGATTTTAGTCCAGTGCCAATGTCGTCCTTTAACTTTTAGTTTGTTCAGTGTGGTCCCTAGACTTTTTATACATGTTCAATCCAGTCTCTGTCCCTATGAAAATGTTCAATATTGTCTTTTCATTAATTTATATAGTACAGGAACTAAATTGAATATGCACCAAAAGTTAAGGGATCACATTGAAGAAATTAGAGGTTCAAAGATGGCATTGCACATTGGGCTAAAAGTCAGGGATCACATTGCATATAAGGTGAAAGTTCGAGAATCATTCGTGTTATCATTACTATACAATATATTAGCAATTCTTTTTTTTTTTCCCTTTTGTTTTTTTTCTAGAGAGTCAGGTCAACTGGCTTGGTCAGAAACGATGGGCACCCCCACCGGTCTCTTACATGCATTTTCTTGTTTTTGACTCCTCCTATATTTAGTCGGCAGTATGTTCTTGACCTGCAACCACACGTATTCCCAAGATAATAAGCTCGGACAGTATTTTTTTCAATTGGGATGAGGATTAACACCATAAAAAACCTCAAATTAATATATTTATGATAAATTTATCTTAAATTAATTTTTTAACCATAAAAAACTTAAAATTAATATATTTGTGACAAATTTACCTTATGTTAAATTTGATTAATATCACGAAAAACTCTAAATTGGTACACCTATATAAAATTTAAACCGATACACCCGTTGCCACATGTCATCTAATTTACAAATTTGAAAATAAGATTTAACGGAAACTAACAGAGGGTAAAATTGTCACAGGTGTACTAGTTTGGGGTTTTTGATGGTCAAAAAATTAGTTTGTGATAAATTTATTACAAATATACTAATTTGGGGTTTTTGGTGGTATTAACCCTTGAAATGAAAAACGGGCAAAATGTACCCGGGGGAGAGCAACAATTCTCCAATGGGACTAAAAAGTTAGCCAAGCTTTGCCAATTTAGAAGAAAAGGGTTAATATCACGAAAAACCCCAAACTGGTATACATGTGACAAATTTACTCAAAATTAATTTTTTGACAATCAAAAACCCTAAACTGGTACACCCATGACAGATTTACCCTAAACTAATTTTTTAACCACCAATAACCAAAAACTAGTATATTTGTGATAAATTTACCTCTATTAAATTGGATTAATATCATGAAAAATCACAAAATGGTACACCTGTGACAGATGAAGGGTAAACCCCTAAACTGGTATATCCGTCAATTGCCACGTGTCATCCAACTAAAAAATTTAACGGTAAAATTTAACGAAAACTAACGGAAGGTAAAATTGTCACATGTGTATCAATTTGGGGTTTTTCATGGTCAAAAAATTAGTTTTGGGTAAATTTATCATAAATATATCAGTTTTGGATTTTTTGTGGTATTAACCCTTAGAAAAAAGGGGGAGAATTACCAAAAAAATCTTAAATTTATTGTAATTGTGCCAATTCAGTTCGAATTTTTTTTTTGGCTAATTGAGTCCTAAACCTTTTACATTTGTGTCAATTCAGTCCATCCGGTCAATTTTGACAGGAAATCGCTAACATAGGCGTCGGCCGTCCAATGTGGCGCGGCTGGCACATAGGACGGCCGACGCTGATGTGGATAATTTTTAATAGTATTTTAAAAAAAATTTCGAATTTTTATTTATTTTCTATTTTCTTTTCCTCTCTTTTCTTTTCTTTTCTTTTTTTTTCTTACCTTCTTCCTCTGGTCGGATGGATTGAATTAAAAAAATCAAGAAATATTAATATATTATTAAAATTGCACTATTCGCGCCACGGCCAACGTCCATGTAAGCGATTTCCGACGAAAATTGACCGAATGGACTGAATTGATACAAATATAAAAAGTTTATAACCCAATCGAATAAAAATAAGATTTAGAATTGAATTGACATAATTACAATAAGTTTGGAATTTTTTTGATAATTTTCCCGAAAATGGGAAGACGAAATTCCTCGGAGTCAGATCCATTAGAGTCGTTCCGACAAAGACGGCTCGGTGAGTTGAATCGCCAAAACATTAATCACATGCATTCGTCAATATCACGCTCAATTCATTGACGACATAGGCTTCACGGTTTTGTTAGTTCTTTGTCCGGCTATAAATCTCCTAATCATAAGGCATGACCCGAGAAGATGTACTAAGGAATGTTGTTAATACTCCGGGTGTGCTGGGTCTCGGTTCGAGCCACAAAGATCCAAGGTTGGCTCCAAGGCCCGGGTCCAACAATTCAGATGGTGGGGTCTTGGGTCCGGCCGATGAGGATGGTCGTGACGGTCGTTGAGAATGCACGACGATTTATTTTTGCCATCCCGCTTATTATCGTGTTTGATCGCTCAAATTTTATTTAGCATATACTTTCATCAATCATAAAGTCATGCTTGGTTTAAAAATCTGTTTCTTTTGTTCTTTCAAAAGTCGCCAAAATGGCGGGGGTGCGTGTAGGGAAAATTGTCCAAAAAGTCTTAAATCTATTACACTTTTACCAATTTGATTTTAAACCTTTCAACTTTGTCAATTAAGTCCTAAATCTTTTCATTTATTGCCAATTGAGTCTATCTTGCCAATTTTGGCCGGAAATCGCTGACATGGTTGACCACGTGGCGTTGACGTGGACATTTTAAAATAATATTTTAATAATTTATGATTTTTTTCTTTTTTTTTTTTCCTTTCTCTCTTTTTTTCTGGGTTCTGAAATTAGGGCCGGCGAGGGTGGCTGGCCGACCCTCGCCTAGGGGTGTAAATGGTTCGGTTTGGTTCGGTTTTCTTGAAAAATCAAACCAAACCGAGCCGTTAGGGAGGAATCGAATCAAATCTCGCTCGAACCAAATACGAACCGAATCGAAAAACCGGTTTGATTCGGTTTTCGAATTTTTTTCTTTTTTTTTTTTGCTTTTTATTCACAGCTTGGTTTTCGGTTTTGGGGTCCCCCTTCTTCCTCCTGCTCGTCTCCGTCGTCCTCTTCTCCTTCTTCACCGTCGTCCTCTTCTTCCCGCTCGCTACCATCTTCTTCCTCATCGAAGAATAGTCATCTTCATCCATGGCCAATCTCTCTCACTCCTCCACCTTCTTCCTCATCCTCCTGCTCTTCATCTCTCCATCTCTCTCAACCCCACAAGAGCAATCACCCCCACAGCCCCCAGCAGACCTTCATCATCCATGCCTCATCCTCCCACAAGCCCTCCCTCTTCTCCACTCACCACCACTGGTACTCCTCCCTTCCTCCATTCCCTCCCACCCTTAGACCCTCCTTTCCCAGATCCTCTACACTTGCCGAGCCACCGCCGGCAACTTCTCCGCCCGCCTCACTGCCCCCCAGGCCGAGGCCCTCCGCCGCGCCCCGGGGTCCTCTCCGTCGTCCCAGACCGCATCCGCCACCTCCACACCACCCGGACCCCTCACTTCCTCGGCCTCACCGAGAGCACCGGCCTCTGGCCGAATTCCGATTATGCGGACAACATCATAATCGGGGTTCTCGATACCGGGATCTGGGCCGAGCGGCGGAGCTTCTCCGATTCGGGCCTCTGTCCGGTCCCCAGTGCGTGGAGAGGCACGCGTGAGGTCAGGAAGAGAGAGAATAAAGGAGAAGGACGAGAGAGAGAGAGAGAGAGAGAGAGAGAGAGAGGGATAGAGGAGAGAGAAAAGTGAGTGAGAGGAGAGTTGCGAAGATAGAGGGAAGAGAGAGAAAAGGGAGAGTACCGACAGTGAGACAGGAGAGACGGAGGAGAGAGAGTGTACGCGAAAAGAAAAAGAAATGCAAAGAAACGAGATCCGATCCGAACCAAACCGATCCGAACTATCAACTAACCAAATTTTTTTACTTATTATCCGAACCGAAATCGAAATCAAGTCGAAAATGTATGAATTTTCGGTTCGGTTTTGACACCCCTACTCTCGCCCAGAGCCTGCTAGGGCCGCCAAGCCCTCGCCTGCCGGTGATCCCTCGCTCATGGCCGGCGAGGGTCAGCTGGCCACCCTCGCCGGCCTTAAATTCAAAATCAGAAAAAAAAAGAGAAAAGGAAAAAAAAAATTTAATTGGCAAAGTTGAAAAGTTTAGAATTGAATCGGCAAAAGTGTAATAAATTTAAGATATTTTGGACAATTTTCCCGGTGCGCGTACCATGTTTTTATCTCACCAGCCATTCTTCTGCGAAGGCAAAACAGATCCGAAGCGCGACTCGATCCTCGGAAAGTCTCTAGAAAAGCAAACGAAGCGAAGGATTCACGATGAAACAAGATTTTGATGAAATGAATCATGGCCAGTGAGCATCTTTCTCGTACAGTCGTATTCAATGCTCCCCGACATTTGGGTGGTCCTCCTGAAACTAGCACCAAACATGTGGCGTCAAATGAACTTGCAACTGCCGCCTCGCAAGCTGCGCATCGCCATCTCAGCTCTTCTACTCGGTTCTGGATGCTTCTCGTTCTTTTCCCATTGAATCTCAAGCCACAGAAGTAGCCAAAGAAGACCGCTCTAGAGAACAGAGAGAGAGAGAGAGAGAGAGAGAAGAAGAAGAAGAAGAGAATTGAATTCAGCCATGGATATGCTCGAAAGCAGCTCGCCCTCACGGTGTTGCATGGGTCAGGATTCATTCGAGGAATGGGAAGAGTCCGATATCGTCTGGTCCTCCGACACGGACCCGAGTTCCCCGCCCGCGACCCCGACCGCCGCTCCGAACCGCCACCCACATGCTTCGATGTTCGGGCTCACCGCAGTGCTGGCCGACCCGCCTCTCGTCCAGAAGAAACCCGCCATAAACCCGACCCTGTCTGCCCTGTCGGCTGCCCGCGCGATCCCGCAAGCGCCGCACTCGTCCTCTCCGGACCGTGGAGGCTTGTCCGGGTCGGGTCCTGGGAGGGCCCGGATGTCGGCCCCCGTGGATGTGCCGGTTTGGCCCAAGTGGGCCAAAGGCAGCGTGCCCGGGACCGACCGTCGCAAGTGGGAGCAGTGCGAGGACATTGACGCGGAGGATGATCATCGGCCGGAGAAGAAGAAGATGGTGCCACCGCATGAAATGGCGGCCATGTCGCGGGCGACGATGGCGTATTCGGTGTTTGAAGGTGCCGGGAGGACGCTGAAAGGGAGGGACTTGAGGCGAGTCAGGAATGCTGTTTTCAGGAAAACAGGTTTTCTAGATTGAAAGTGCTTAGGGCCATCAACTATCGTGTGGGGAGATGACCAACTTTCCCTAAGTCCCATTAGCTTTGTGGATAAATAACATGATGAAATTTTTTAGTGTTTTGGTCAAAAGGTTTAGTCACATGTGTGAGGATCTTTTATCCTACGAACACATGCTGTTCTTAGTTGGAATCAGCTTGTAATGCGCCAACCATGGAGAGACATATTCCTTTTCGTGTAAAGACAAAAGTGTGTGTGTAACACATTGGTGACACTATCTATGGAAGTGCGCTCATGTGATCCACGTAATTTGCATCGTTTTCCGACGATGCTCAAGCAAAAAGCACTCCAAGATCATTGCTTTGTGAATGAAAGTGACCCTTTAGGCTCTGATTAGTAATGACTGTTCAAGAAAGAAACATCTGAGAACTATTCATTTGGGCCGACAGGGGGTCAAGTGCTTGATTTGTTATTGAAGCTACTCGAGTAAAGAAAAAGCTCAAGTGGTCAGGTTTGACTCTCTCTCTCTCTGCCCATTTGACTGAAGTATTCAAGCACCAGTGACACCCTTTTGTACGATCACTGTGATAGGGTGTTTTCGGAACAAGAACGTGTTCAGTCAGCGCTGCAGAATTCAAATCAAAATCTTGAATCTCTAGAATTAGCATTGAGGTTTTTCTGTTCTCATTTTTCTCTTTGGGGGGTTTCAGAGAGTTGGTTGCTGCTGCTACTGCAGAACATTTACCCTCGGATTTCGGACATCAGTCCATTGACTGTGGATGCTCCTCCCTTACTATTGACATTCATCATTTTGATGGTATCTTCTCTAGAAAGTTCAGTAAGTTGAGTAAGTCTGAAGTTTCTAAATGGGATTAAGAATCGGTCAGGACACTATTCCTGAGCTTCAGAAGGGGAAAGCAAGCAGATGTAAGATTGGTTTTCGTCTCTACCATTGTTACGCGATGACAACGCGGACAGCGACGCCTCCATAGGCCACCAGCCTAGGAAAATCAGTTTTTCCCCTCGAACTCCATTGCATGTTTGGCTGATCAATTTTGCACGAGTGGTGTAGTGAAAAAGGATTCGGCATGTCGAACATAGGACTCGTTACTGTACAACAAGGTCATTCATTTGATCTCATTGTAGTTTCTTAAGATAGAGATCATTCAGGAATTCTTCTCAAACTCACAGCTTATATTCTTCAACTTATAATCAAGTCTATCGATAACTACTGTTAGGCCTGTGCAGAGCTTTTAGCAAAGCAATCAGATGCTCTCGCCCAATTCTATGAAAGCATGCGAGATTGTTGTGTTCGATTCAATCCTGTTAAACTTTACACGGACTTAATTTGTGTTCTATTCACAGGTGAGATCTTCCTTTGTAAGCCTTTTTGCTTAGGAGAGAGAACCCGGCATCCTTTAAGTTACAATCCACCTCTTCAAGAGCACTTCAATTCTTCCATTCAATCCGTTCCCACGGATATTCAGATCAGCAGAGAAAAGGCTCCTTGCTATATGTACAAAATCACTTTAATCAGATGAATATGTGAAGCCTGTAAGCATTTCCAATAGCTATCTTCTTCTAGTTAGCTGTCAGATGCTCTCGCCCAATTCTATGCAAGCATGCGAGATTGTTGTGTTCGATTCAATCCTGTTAAACTTTACATGGACTTAATTTGTGTTCTATTCACAGGTGAGATCTTCCTTTGTAAGCCTTTTTGCTTAGGAGAGAGAACCCGGCATCCTTTAAGTTACAATCCACCTCTTCAAGAGCACTTCAATTCTTCCATTCAATCCGTTCCCACGGATATTCAGATCAGCAGAGAAAAGGCTCCTTGCTATATGTACAAAATCACTTTAATCAGATGAATATATGAAGCCTGTAAGCATTTCCAATAGCTATCTTCTTCTAGTTTGCTGTGACTGAAATTTCTCGGTCAGCTTCTTAACTCATATTAGATGCTGGGTTGTGCATCTCCTTCATGTGTATAATTCCATGATCGTTCTTCTGTTAGTTTGCTGTGACTGAAATTTCTCGGTCAGCTTCTTAACTCATATTAGATGCTGGGTTGTGCATCTCCTTCATGTGTATAATTCCATGATCGATCTTCTGTTAGTTTGCTGCGACTGAAACTTCTCGGTCAGCTTCTTAACTCAGATTAGATGGTGGGTTGTGTATAGTTCCTTCATCTGATAAGCATATCGGTTTGTTTCACCTCCAAAAGCAGTTGGCCTCTAAAAGAACTGAGTAGTTTGAGAGAATCTCAAACAGATTGGCGGACGAACTTTAGCGAGAGCAAGGATCGAGGACGGAAGGATCCACAAACCGTCTCCGCAAATCAGACCAGAAGCAACAGCAGGAACCATCAAGCCCACCTCTTCACCGTTGATTTTGTGCCACGCAAAAACTATGAAGCTCCCCACACACATATCTATTGCAAAGTAGGCACCAACTAGGAAAGGCACGGCCATAGCCATTGGAAGCGGTACCCAGTTCCCTATGTGTTTAGGCGAGAGGTCTCTAGCCAAGTTTACTGCCACGGCAAAGGCAAAAAAGCCGTAGCAGAGCTGTAAGCAATGCTGGGGGAGGGCAGAGAATCCTTCCATTCCTAGAAGGGCCATACTGCGGTAAACAATAGCATAAGGAGCCTTATACTCACCCTGCGGATTTCCCACATCGAACGTGTCGTAGAAGAGGAAAAAAGTTAGAGGGGCTGCCACGCAACCTAAGGCCGTCCCAATGGCTTGGCTAAGAAGCATCGCTCGGGGAGAGGTCAGTGTCAGATGACCAGTCTTGAAGTCTTGCATCAGATCGGAAGAGATGGAAACAATAGATTTAATTAGACCGCACCCAATTAGTCCAGCGACAACGCCGGAATCGTTTCCAGCCGAAGCGGCTAGCACAAAGAGCGCTACTTTTCCGTAATTATAGGCCATGTTCATATCTGTGAGTCCCACCCCATAGGCATTGCAGAAGCCAAGTGGGGGCGCAAGCATGTAAGCAGCAACTACATAGTACCACTTTAGCTCAGGGAACATGATGGGGATCACGGCGACGGAGATGATGGAGGCGAAAGCGTACCCTGCACAGGCCTTCCAAACGGAAATGCTGTCCCTCGCGAATACTTGGTTCCGCCGAAGATCGTCAAGAGACTGATTCTCATCCTCAGGAACTGCCGTAGAGAAGACGATGTTAGCTTTCAGCAGCGCACTCAAACAGTAACATTACATACTTTTGGTGGTTTAAGTTCATGATTAACCTGTGACACACTAAGCTCGTCTGAACTCAAAAATAGGGTAGCTCAAGTAAAGTTCATCTGTGACTTACAGGTCTTACGGTTCTTGGTGTTCACCCTAGCACAGACGCTCTTTGTAGTGAAATACAGTACTTTTAGGAAATTGTAGAGTCCGTCGCCCAGAATGAGAGCTATTGAAATGAAAACCTGCAGGCACATAACTCGATGTACTGAATATGTTATATTACCACCCAAGGACATGTTATCGGTCAAAAATCACGGATCGAATCGTGAACATCCACAAATATTCGTTCACCTTATAACCATTGAGACTCTTCATGCTGCCTTCGGGTGGCGTATTGGGAAACCAGTCCCCTTCACGGCGACCAATCAGAGGCCACATGATTCCCCAGGAGAGCAGAGCGCCGAGCAGCAGAGACGAGTTCACGAGATGGGAACAGATCATTCCAGCTCCAATGTAGCTCATGCTGAAATCGGAGTAAAATCTGCAAAAACCAAATGCTCAACCAAATGCAAGCAAAATCAAGTCGCTCAGGGAAACGGCAAAAAAGAAGCGTCAAAGAATTCAAACACGAACGAGTTTTTCCAGGCGCTGTATCCAAAAATCGGTAACTGCGAGAATCCACATCGCTCGCCCCCCGAAAAGAACCACTGGAAAAAAGCCCACAGGAAACTGATCGAAAAGAACTTCGCGAAACCCCGAACCTGCTTCCTGCGAATACAATTCCCTGAGATCTCTCATTTTCCAAACTAGGACCTGTGGCGCACGCTTCAATCAATAAAAGAAAAACTGCGTACTTGGCTATGTCGTCTCCTTTAGGAGTATGAAACCCATTAATAAGCGCAGCCGTAGCAGTTCCGCTTGGATAAGTCAGTTTGTAATCTACTATCATGATCTGTAGACCCACATAGCTGCACAGGCATTAAATTCTAGATCTTACAAGAGGCAATTCGTTCGAAACGAACTCAAAATTCGAGTTACTAACGAACATCGAGAATGCGTCGAGAAGCATAAAGTCTGATCTTTTGTGGATCATCAAGGCATTACCTTTCTGAGAGGAACAAGTGCCAGAAGCCCAACAAAGCTGCTAACAAAGAGGAAGCCGGTCATCCAACCGATCCCGGGTTCTTTTGTGCTCTCGGGAGTATTACCAGGCGCATCCCCAGCTTGTTCGTAAGTCTTCTTGTTTAAGGCCAGCAGGTAAGACCCGAAACCGCCTGGAAAAGGGAACAGATTCTCGTAGTGAGCACGCAGAAACTCAGAGACACAGATTGCTTCAAACGTAACGCTGAAAGTGTCCTGAACACAGATGCTAAAAAAAAGTCAGCGGAGAAGGTTAGGCAAGAAAGAATCTCCCACCTCCGACAGCGATGCTATAGCACGCGACGGCGCACGTCTGAATCGTGGTGTTCTCCTCCCGGGTGAACGGGGTCGACATGACGCCGGCCTTGCGGAGCACCTCGGTCCATGCTTTCACGAACACGAAGGCCGAGAACGCGGCCGAGACGTTCAGATTCGGCACGAGCCCGGTGGTGAGGTTGAGCTTCATCACGATCACCCCGTAAACGATCCCGACCGCCGACCCGGCCACTATCCCCCTCGCCGTGATCTGCTTCGTCCACGGAGGAACGGCTCTCGCGAAGCCCGCTCGCCCCCCGGGCGCTTCCTCCGGACCTTCTCTCCCGAAGTTCAGGGGCTCGCTCAACTCCTCCCCGTCCATGTTCCCCGCCGGCATAGTCGTCGCTGCAAGAAGTGATCGTGACGTCGGGATCTTTATCTAACTACGTCCGGCGTCTGACTGAAGCGTGACCCACAAGAAAAGAAAGAACGGAAGAAACAACGCACGCACCCGACCGTTCAACGCAGCTTAGCAAGCTGAGGAGCAGATGGATGCCTCGAGCCCCGGCGGCAGGATCACCGCTTCAATGGGCGGTGAAGAAGATGGTTCCGGGTGGAAGAGACGAAGAGGGTAACGTTGCAACGAAAGAGGAAAGGGTCAGCAGAGCCGATGGGGAACGACAAACAATTTGTTTTTGTTCTCGCATGTCGACGTTGAGTTCTCTTTAAAATAACGAAAGAAGCAAAGACGTTGCCGTCGTGGTGCTCGAAAGCTATTGGGCCGGAAATGGCGTGGCCATGCGCGCGACGCGAGGAGCTTTCTTTCTTGTCGGGGACGGAGGAATTGCGTAGGAGCCGCACACTGCGCAGGTGTGGGCCGTCTCTAAGGGGGAGACGGCAAGTTCCTGGCCGTTGATTCGAGCTAGTTGCGACTGTTTTCCCGCGAGGCTGGATGCCCATCGCACTGAAAAAAAGAACTCTATAATGCTTTGCACGCTAGCTCTATATTAAACAAGTTTTGTGAGATCGGTACCACCCATTTTAAAAGTTAAAGCAATTGAACGAATACGCGGAGTTAATATTTAAATATTTTAGAACTCCCTTTACACGTTTAGATTGGACTTTGGTACAGTATTGAGCGTGAAAAATGCACGTTAGGGACGTAAATAAGAGGTTGAAAAGATTTGAACTCGAGACTTCTAACACTAATACCGACCATTTTAAAAGTTTTGAGTTTAACTTAATGGGTGAATGAAAATCACATATTTAGAAAGAGCTTACAATCATATTAACGAAATAACGAGTAACGTGGAATATTGTAACCCAAATAACATGCATCTCAGTAAACTCTCTGTGTTTCCAAAACTCCCGCAAACTCTCTAGCTAACATCGAATTTTTGGATATCTCCAATCACGAGATTTTGAATTCATAGAACTGCTGTCGCTAACGAGCATAATTTCAGCCCGAGCCTACCTTCGCCCGCCTCTGTTGCTCTTTAGGAGGCATCCACCCCAGACGAATCACCCCCACCTCATTCGTTACAAAAAAAGAACCACGGCAGGCTTCCGGCAGTTCATGGGGTAGCCCCCAAACTGCTCGCTCTGGCGAGCGGGATTCGAAGCCTCACGCGGAAAGTCCGTACCATCCCCCGCCGACCGCGACAGGTGGGAACGGCCGGGCCGGGCCTAAGTCCGGGACCCGACCCGGCCCAAAAGAGGACGGGTCAGGACTGGAGAGCCCAGAGAAGAAAGAAACGGATCCAACCACCAACCGCTATTTTACCAAAACTGCCACTATGGGCCCCCTCCTCCCTGCGAGTCCCCGTAACTTCTCTCCTCTTCTCTCCCGAGAACCCTCTCTCCCTTCCCTTCCCTTTCCCTTCCCTTCATCTTCTTCCTCCGATCCTCAAGCGGAGAGACTCGTCGTCGTCTTCCTCCTCCTCCTCCTCGGGTCCTCGCCGGCGCAGCAGCAGAGCACGCAGGTCCTTCGGGCTCCCCCTCGACGCCGCCGCCATCGCCGCCGCCGCCCGTCGCCGCCGGCCCGAGCGCGAGACCCCCCCGGCGGGTAGCCATGGAAGGGTCGGAGGCGAGGTTCCTGGAGAAGCTGGTGCTGTACGCGGCCAGCGCGGCGCTCAGCTGCCTGGTCATGTTCGCGGGGCTCCGCCACCTCGACCCGAACCGGGAGGCCTCCAAGAAGGCCCTCGAGCACAAGAAGGAGATCGCCAAGCGGCTCGGTCGGCCCCTCGTCCAGACCAATCCGTATGAGGTCAGGACCCTTCGGATTTTCTGCTCGTTTGAATCGTTTTGTCTTGCACGTGGGTTTTGGATTTGAGGTTTGGGTGGTGTGCTCTGAGCTGGATTTTTTGTGATTTGGATGGAGGATTATGCAGTGTTTGATGTGCTTGTGTGGGAGAATTTGGGGAGCCCTCAAGTTGTTATGACTTTGTGACTGCGATGAGATGAATCGAATTGCTTGCCACCCAGCAAAAGTGCTTAAATGTTCTGTCTGCTTCATATTTCGTTCGGTGTTTGATAGGATTCCTTAATCTCATTTGTTGTATTGCTCTGCCCAAAAATTAATGGTACCTCTACTGTGATTCTTTATACGGTCGACCATGTAGAATTCTTTACCGAAGGGGGCAGAGATTCCGGCATGTTATAGTGTGATATTGGGTTGAGCACATATGTTATCTAAGATACTCATTTTACTTAAGGTGATTGATATTTGTATTTCTTGCCATGGATAGCAGCTCCTGTCTATAATAGTGTTGAATTGGTTAAGTGAACTAAAGAGTCTCATATGGAAGGTGGGACGGGAGTTGAGGGATTAGCGCTGTCCTCCCGGTTGTTGTTCTCATTTTTAATGCTAAGGTTCTATCTGTATGACGATACACTCCACTATCGTCTCATCTTTGTAAGTTGTTGTCACTATTGATGGTCGTGCACCATCTTGGATGTAGAGACCTTGCTTAAATGCCCGAATTTCTTGTCGAAACTATTTTGAATGCCTTATAAAGTTGTCAAAATTTCATAAGTGGTGAAGGAGGGGTTTTGGACATGTACTAAGATTATGGTGAATGCCGATCAGATTGCCATCAAAACTATTTTTAGATTGGTTTTGACTAGTTTGTTAACTGATAGCCTGTTACGTATATGCAGTGGGGCTGGGCATGTTTATTGTTATCTTGTTGTTTGGTCAGTCATCATTCATCTTCCTGGGTTACTTTGCAAGCTGCAGTAAATAGCTTCTTTTGTGAAAAGTGTTCTTCTCTCACGAAGGTTTTTGGGCTTTCAAATGTCAATTTCGGATTTGTTCTTCTTCTAATTTTTCTCCTTTACAATTTCAGGATGTGATAGCATGTGACGTCATCAATCCTGACCATATTGATGTGGAATTTGACTGTATTGGAGGATTGGAAACCATTAAACATGCTCTCTTTGAACTGGTTATTCTTCCGCTACGAAGACCTGATCTTTTCTCACATGGAAAACTTCTTGGTCCCCAAAAAGGTGTTTTGCTCTATGGACCACCTGGTACTGGAAAGACCATGCTTGCCAAAGCCATAGCAAAAGAGTCTGGAGCTGTTTTTATTAATGTGAGGATATCAAACTTGATGAGCAAATGGTTTGGAGATGCTCAAAAACTTGGTGAGTTTGCATGTCTGTGTTTGCTTTATGTACTGTGACAGCTGAGATGAATGCTCAGAGTGAGTATATTTTAGATTATTAAAACTCGTTTTAGTGGAATTTAGATAGAGTTTTTGGCTAGAGGAGTCACATATGATTAAGCAGTGAAGTTGGTCACAGTGAGGCATAATTTAGGTAAATATTGTTTGTGCATCGTGGCTAGTCAGTGGCCACTTGTTTGAAATGTGTATTATTTTCTGTTGGATGCTATTGTAGTAAATTGGCTCAAATAGAAAGAAAAAACTTCTACCACAGACTGAACTGCATTATACGGTAAAGCTTCGGCAGTGGTATTGGTTTTTTAGTGGCTTTTAATACATTGGACTTTTGGTTGAGCTTTCGGTGTAATTAATTTTTCATATCATTTTGGATATAACATAATTCCTCTATCTTTTTCTTGATGGCACGCAGCATGCTTGGTTTTTCATGGGGGCATGGGGGTATTGGTGTTTGTAACTTCTAGGACATATTCTTCTTTCTTGTTCTTTAGTGATGAAGCTAACTCTAAAAACCGCTGCATTTATTCATGAAGTTAAATTGTAAGTGAAAATTATCCTAGGAAGCACGGACACTCTCCGTAGGCCTCCACGTTGGTGTCAGACATCCGACACGTGGTCAACGCTCCGGACACGCCTCCAACACGCGAGTCAGAGCATCCCGACACGCCATCCGACACACACGGGGTCAATTTTAAACATTTTCAATTACTTAGGGGTCAAAATGTAAAGAAAAAAGAAAGAAAAGGGAGAAAGAAGAAACCCTAGTCTTCAACATGTGGATTTGAGTCAAATTAAACATTTCATTCTAGGCTCTTTTTTTTATATTATTTCTTTATTTGTGGATTTGAATCAAATTAATTTGATTGAAATAATCATACAAATGATAATTTATTATGTATATATAAAACTATACATTCAATATATGTGTCCCAAATCTGACCAAATATATATACATATATATATATATATACACACACGTCTCAACATGTCGGAATTCTCTATTTTTTGAGAAATGACATGTCGGTGGGTCGGGTCGTGTCGTGTCGCGTGTCGTGTATCAGTGTCGGTGCTAATCAGAAATTATCATGAGTTCGATATCCTAGGTTTTATAATGTTGCTAATCAAAGGGAATCCTTCAATTTTACTTTCATCTCATATTTAGAGTACAGACTCTGGTGCTTTGATTTTAAATATATGATGGTACTACTTTGCAGTGGCTGCCGTGTTTAGCTTGGCTTACAAATTGCAGCCGGCTATCATATTCATTGATGAAGTCGATAGTTTCCTGGGCCAGCGTAAAACTACTGATCATGAGGCATTAACGAACATGAAGACTGAATTCATGGCCTTATGGGATGGTTTCACGACAGATCGTGAGTTCTCTCCCCCCTCTGTCTGTCTCTCTCTCTCTCTCTCTCACACACGCACACACATGCACGTGCACACATAAAACATTAGAAGTGGATGCTAGTATACTATGCATGGCTGCTGCTATATCAGGAGCTTGTTCCTCTGGTCAATTTGAGCAGTAAGTTTTGGTTCTAACAATTTTGCCCTCTCTTTACAGAGAATGCTCGGGTTATGGTTCTTGCTGCAACCAATCGTCCATCTGAACTTGATGAAGCAATACTTCGCCGTCTTCCTCAAGCTTTTGAGATTGGTATACCTGATCGCAGGGAGAGGGCTGAGATACTGAAGGTGATCTTGAAGGGTGAGAAAGTTGAACAGAACATTGATTTTGACTACCTTGCCAGCTTGTGTGAAGGGTACACAGGCTCAGATCTGCTTGAACTCTGCAAGAAGGCGGCTTATTTTCCAATCAGGGATCTATTAGATGAAGAGAAGAAGGGAAGGCCTTCTCAAGTGAGTACTCTTTTCACTAGTTAAGTTGCATTTAAGACTCACTTATTTTAAAGGTTTAAGTTTCTGAAGGAGGAAAAGATAGTGTGTATGGTTTGGTGTTCAACTGCAAAAATCCTTGGTACCGGGTGGATTCTTGGTGTCGCCTGTGGAGTTGCGTAGTTTTATGATAAATTTGCCAGGACATTTGTAGCTGCCTCTATGATGACATGAAATATGCTTCAGGATCATGATGATTAGTTTCCTATTAGTGACTCCATTGAATGCAGACTTCTGTGGCGACCATTTGGATTATTTGTACAGACTTGTCTGGTGCTAGTTTTACGCATGTAGTTTTGTGTATGTCTATGATGATGTTCCTATCTCGAGATAGACTGAAGCGGTTTCTATCGATGTGTGTATCTTTTCCAGGCACCAAGGCCCTTATTACAATCTGATTTGGAGAAAGTTCTCATGACCTCAAAAAAGACCAAGCTTGCAGCCAGTGAATACACCAGGTTGAGCTCACAGTCACCCAGTTGGCCAAGGAATAGCGAGTCCGACGATTATCAGGTTCAAGCCGCCATGAACGAGCTATCGAGGCTGGTCCTCTCCCAGATCATGAACCTCCGACCGGATTCGCAGGATTCTTGAAGGGGGGTCCGTCTCCATCTTAAGCCTCCTCTTGTCTGTAGAATCTGTCCTCTAATATCTTTTTGTCTGCTTTAATACTCAGCACCGGATGCATCAAATCATATTTCCTTCTGGAAAATTTGGAACTTGTCACCAATTTTTTTTTCTTTTGTGCTCTGTGGTTCAATTAGTTTGAAGATGGCTAGTAGGGGACGAGTTCTTAATGAATACATATGGGGAAGTAAATCGACATTCCATGTCATGACAGGTTTCAGATTTTAATGGGAGGGCAATTAACTCATTCTTTTGTAATCCCATGTATTGATGTGTCGGATATTAGACAAATTTGGACCATTGCCTGCCCAGTTTGCATGGTTGGGCCAGCAAATGTCTCCCCGCTCTTGAAACCTTTTACGATTCTTGGTTGTTTGATGTGCCGTCAGCTCATGAAGGGAGTGCTCATTGAAAGTGGGAGTATGTTCGGCAGATGAAGCCAAGCATTTGAAGGGTGGTGACAAGAATGCACGAAATGATCCCACAAAACTATGACAACCTTATGCCACTCTGCATCAAATTGTACTCTACCTGGCCATTGAGTCCCCCCCTCAAAAAAAAAAAAAGAGCAAAGAAAATTCGAAGGTGACATTTTTTTCGTCGAATAATTGTATAAACTGGAGAAATGCGAAGCACGAGACTATCATAGTATTTCACATATCCGGGGTTTGCCCTCCTAAAGAAGGTATGGCGCTGCCGGGGCGGGTTGTTTTTAGCAAGTTGTTCTGCCATCCAAATCGAATGACATAGGAGGGGTGCAAGTCGTTCTGCGACAAGTGCTTCGACGTACCGGTCCGTTTCCCATCCTGATTTTATAGGATACTCATCCGACCCTTCACTTTCTTCCGTAATTGCTCGTGGCTTTGACCTCGTATCGCGGTGCACATGAATGGCGATAACTGCTTCGCCGAGACCCGAGACGAAAACGTACGATACGATCGAAATGACCCAGTTAAAAAAAGCTTTGCTTAGATATGACCCTCTCTCGTCTCGCTAGGCGTGTAACGTAATATTTGTATATCGAGAAAAAAACGAAAGTTACGGAGTCGAAAGGCATCGGCACGCTAGGCAGCTCACGGGGGGGCGCAAAAACTAAAAGAGCGAGAGAGTATTGCGATGCGACCGAAAAAGAGCACCGACACCGGATCGACACGGATCCCGGGCCTCAGATCTCGCCACGTGTCAAATTCAATTACCGGCAAACCGAGAGAAACCGCGTCCCCACGGGCTCTTCGAAAGCGGGCGGGGGGGAAATGACCTCCCTGTCCCTTCCCCCGCCGAATGGCCAAGGTTAGGCCGCGAAGCACCGGATCCCAAACCCACGCCCGCGTCGTCTTCCTTCTTCCCCTCTCTCTTTATAGCTTTCCTCCCTCTCCGGGGAGACCTTAAAGCATCCCAATAAAATCTCACTCGCGAAAGGGAGCTTTTTTCCACCCCCCCCACCCTTCACTCTCTACTGCGTCGCTCGCTCGCTCGCACGAAATCTGAATCCGTGGGATCTTTAGGAGGCGATGGAGGTGTTCTACTACATGGTGTTCGGGGCCCTCGGCGCCGTCGTCGCCGCCCTCGAGCTCAGCAAGAACAACAAGGACCGCATCAACACCACCTCCGCCTTCACCTCCTTCAAGAACAACTACCTCCTCGTCTACTCCCTCATGATGGGTAAATCTCGCGGTTCCTCTGATCTCCCCATTTCGCGCCTTCCTCTCTTTTTCCTCTTTCCCTTCGTTCTCTCTCTCCCCGGCTCGGATCTCGCGCTCGGGTTCCCCGTTCGCTTTCCTTCCTGCGCGCTCCCGCGAGGTCGCCGCGCCGATTGCGGTTCGCGCCTCGAGCCGAGGGATTGTGGCGTGGATCTGACGCGTGGCGAGGATTTCCTGTCGAGATCTGGACGAATTGGTGAGAATGCCGGCGCCGACGATCCCGCATTTTGAGGCGCCGTCGGGCTTGATCTGCGGTTCTTGCGTGCGTTTCCGGATGCTGCGTGCGGAGCGGATCTGCAGCTGCATTCGTGTTTTAGCTGATCGCGTGTGGACCGTGGAGGTTTGGCCTCTGTTGTGTAACTGTTTGTGGAAATGCGGATTCATTTTGCAGGTTGGAGCTCCTCCTAGATTCGAAGGGAATATCAGAATCGAATCTGCTGTCATTAGTGATGCTCGATTGTGCAGGACTACAGCTCAATTGCATTATAGATCAATTTCGCTTTTTGGCCATTGTGCTCGTATGCTTGCATATTTGTCTTTGTTTGATGTCGACGCGTTCTCCCCGACCGACCCTGTTTCTGCTCTAGGGGCATCTAGATCGTTAGACATTTCGTACCGTCGTTCGTTAATCCGTAAAGAGGAATGCATTATCTCGCGAGACCATCAAGGATGGATCTGTAGTTTTTCTTCGAGATCAGCTGCTTATTTGGCGAACTCTGCGGAGAAATGTACTTTTTAGAAGTTGAGATGCTTTGCGACTCTTCATCTGACGGTCTGTATTCTTCATGGCGAAAGCCGGTGATTGGTTGCAGGGCCCTTATGTCTACTACCTTTACAGTCAGTATGGCTACGGAAAAGGAGATATAGGACAACTCTTTATTGCTGGTTTTGGCTCCTCCATGTTGTTCGGGACAATTGTCGGATCCCTGGCAGACAAACAGTGAGGCTTCTGCTACGTGCTGTTTTTGCATACCTTTCCACTATTCGGGAAATTCTTTCGTGGTCGACTGATCCTTTTTGCACTTAATTAGGGGTCGGAAGAGGGCATGTGTGACTTATTGTATCACTTACATACTGAGCTGCATCACCAAGCATTCTCCTCACTACAAAGTGCTGATGCTGGGCCGTGTATTAGGAGGTATTGCCACTTCTCTATTGTTCTCAGCATTTGAGTCCTGGCTTGTTGCTGAACACAATAAGGTAAGAGATGGCGGCTATTCCCTTACTTTTCTTTTGTTTGGTTTCTCTCAGATGATTGAATAAATTGTAATGCTGAAATAATTAGCACAAAGCTGGATAAATTTATTCTCTGTTGGATAATAAAGATGCATGAAAGTTGATCGTTGGGAAACTTCTGTCTCTGAATACCACCAGTTCTACTCATTGACAGTCATTATGCATTTTGAAACTTTTAAACCTGTAACTCCTAATCATTAAGGAGTAAATGCAGTAACAAGCTACTATCCTCATGCTTTCCTTAGATGGCTTCCTGGGAAGTTTATTTTCATTTGATGAGATGGGAACATAGTTTCCCCATTTTCCTGTTCTAATAGTGAAGTTATTTGGAAACATTAAGTCAAATGAACTGGACTTTGTTGCCCTTTGGATCATTTAGGCCGAGTAGAACAAAGCACGTTATTCGGTTTCATCTAAACTTGAACTTCCTTGTTTTCGTACTTTCTCTTTAGGGTTAACACAATCTCTATCAAACATGCTTTAGATACTTTGCATTTACTGTCTTGTCTGGCTCAAGGTTTGTGCGAACAGGTAAAAGTTCCAAAAGTTAAGAATACATATGTACACTTGAAACCTGTTCATCTATTTGCATCTATTTGGCATGCATATGCCTTTGGTGGGGGGATGAGATCGTGAGTTCACCATATTTCTCTAGCAGTCTCCATTTATAGCCTGATTCATTCCACCCTTGAGAGTTTGCACCTGTGGTTTAGGATGTCCAAACACTTTTGAGTCGATTCCCCTGAATATATTATATATCCGCGTCTGTTCGGCATGTGTATGCCGGAGGGAGGATGAGATAGTGAATTTACATATATTTCTAGCTGTCTCCATTTATAGACTGATCCATTCCACCCTTGGGAATTTGCTCCTGTGGTTTCAGATGTCAAAACATTGCTGAGTCGATTCCCCTGAATATAATATTGATGAGATGGTGCAGTTTTTCCCTGTAGTTATTCTTTTTACTGGATTAAAGGAATTCGAGAATTCTCATACTTATGTCCTCTCACACAATCTGCGCAGAGGGGTTTTGAACAACAATGGCTGTCTATAACATTCTCAAAGGCAATTTTTCTTGGCAATGGTCTTGTTGCTATCCTATCTGGGTTATTTGGAAATATACTTGTCGATACACTTTCTCTCGGGCCTGTGGCACCCTTCGATGCTGCTTCATGCTTTTTAGCTATCGGCATGGCAGTTATTCTGTCTTCGTGGACTGAGAATTATGGAGATCCTTCAGAGAATAAGGACTTGCTCACTCAATTCAAGGGGGCGGCCACAGCCATTGCTTCTGGTAGATTCCTGATCTTACTTTTTCAACGAATCTCAGATATCTTACTATTAGTTTGTAGATTGCCATATTGACACATGCAATGCTCATAGTTGTCACCTCTGTATACATGTTTGTTTCAAATGTTCTTCCCTTGCTTATATTGCACTCCACTGATCTGTTTTTATTTTTAACCTTGAAATTCTGTTTTATGGTCAGATGAGAAAATCGCTTTGCTGGGCGCAATCCAATCACTTTTTGAAGGTTCAATGTATACATTTGTATTTCTGTGGACTCCTGCTTTGAGCCCAAATGGTGAGGAGATTCCCCATGGTTTCATTTTTGCTACCTTCATGTTGGCTTCCATGCTGGGTAGCTCTCTTGCCTCCCGATTGATGGCTCGCACATCACCCCGAGTTGAAAGTTACATGCAGATTGTTTTTGTTATATCTGCTGCCGCTCTCCTGCTCCCCATCTTAACCACTGTAACTCTCTCTCTCTCTCTCTCTCTCTCTCTCTCTCTCTCTCTCTCTCTCTATCTCTATGTGTGTGTGTGTGTGTGTGTGTGTGTGTGAGCATGCACAAGCATGTGCATGTTCTTGCGCGAATCTTGTGACAGCTTTTTGTATGTTTATATCTGTGTTTGTACATGGAGATATACTCGCATTTTGACTTTGTTGATTTGGAACAGATGTTTGTGACGCCTGCTAAGGTCAAAGGCGGAGGTATGTCATTTTCAGGTTGTCTCCAGCTTCTTGGCTTTTGCACTTTTGAGGCTTGTGTTGGCATTTTCTGGCCATCCATCATGAAGATGAGGTCCCAGTATATCCCGGAGGAGGCCAGAAGCACCATCATGAACTTCTTCCGGATTCCTCTTAATATCTTTGTCTGCGTAGTGCTGTACAATGTAAGTTGCTGGCTTTATTTAATCAAGATCAGCGAACTAACGAAATCTGAGGCCAGTGCATGTCGAGCTATCTAGTAGTAGTGTCACCCCCTCCTAGAAACTTTTCTCCCTGCCTAACTGAAAGTTTTCATGAATCGTGTTTGAAGGTTGATGCTTTCCCCATCACTGTGATGTTCGGCATGTGCTCTATTTTCCTCTTCGTGGCTTCCCTCTTGCAGAGGCGGCTCTTGGTCATTGCAGATAAGCCGAGTGAGTAAAATCTTTGCCTCTGGTCCAGAACCACATGTGCAAGCACATCTGAACTTGGATCCCTAAAAATGTTGTAATTCAGTCTGTTTCTCGTTCATGTCCTGTCTATATTCTGCTTTTAATGACTTGGAAGTACTTGTTGTCAACAGAGACAGAAGACAGGGAACTGGCGAAGGAAAGGGACCCAGAAACTGAGCCAATGAATATATGATTATTGTTTGTGCTGACGAATACAGGAAAGTCTCGAAAAGTTGCAAAACAGCAAGTTATTCAACTGCGCATGACGTCGCAGTTTGTGCTGGATAGCAGATGTATTGAGCTTTTTCTTTTTTGTATGAAGATTAGAAGATATGGAGATAAAGCAGAAACAAAAAAAAGGAGATGAGAAGACGGGGAACGCTCGAGATCTTTAAATGGCTATCGACCTCCTTCCAGTGGGCAATCGAGTGCAAAGACTAGATTACAATCGAATCTACTTTAGCTTTTCATTTTCTTTTGGTTTTTCCCTTCTTTAAAAAGGAGACTCCAGTTATGTAGTAGTTCCATTTGTCATTCTTTTGTTTCTCAGCCTAAAAGTGGTATCTGTTGCTACGTGCATCTAAATGTATCTTTTACATATTTTCTTTCTTTCGGACATGAAATCACATTGGCTCGTCAGAGTTTTATATTTCACTACATTCATACAGAGATCTATCTGTGTGGCGCTTCAGCCATCGCTTATTCCTTAGGAAATTCTGTTAAGTTTCATGCACTTTTGTTGCATAAATTGAACTTTACTTTCCTTTTGGTTCACTTTATGCAGCTGTAATGTGATACCACGACGACCAACTCGCAAAGACAAGCTTTAAGGGCCGAACTGAGTTGAACAGATCAAATTAGACAGAAGCGGGTGTGTAGATGAAAGCGAATTCATTCCTCTTCTTGAGTTTCAGCTGAAGTAGTCTAGTCTAGAATAATCGACTGATATCGGTGATTTACTTGCGTTAAATATGGATTCGGAGTCCCTAACTATATTGATACATATCGTTTGTATGAGCTAAAATCCGGAGTCCCTAACTATATTGATACATATCGTTTGTATGAGCTAAAATCCTCGGCCGGGTTTGTATGAGCTAAAATCCTCGGCCGGATCCGTCCGATAATATTATGGGGACTCAACCCAATACTATTTCAGTATCTTCATTGAAACAAGGAAATCTGTTCTTTAAATTCTAAAACATTGACCAGTGACGCACTATATAAGATGCATAACGATCCGTTTATCAAGCGTGAATTGTACACACTACATGTCCGGAGTCACTTTTTTGGAATTGACTGCTCAAGTCGCTTATAAATCACGAGAGTCTAACTTATGGAAACGGGGTTGGGAAAAGGTTGAAGTTCTTGAAAGATCCATTTTTCAAGTACAGAATGAACTAGAATCGATAAATTCCATCAGTTTGAAATGAACCGCAAGATAAACACAAATCTGCATAGGCCATTCTACATCAGGCGATGAATACACAACACGAGAGGGCCCTCCTCGCTTCTAAATCAAAATGAGCGGATTCTACATAAAGGCCTACATACAACAAACAGGATAATGTTATAAACATATGAACATAGACGCTATTCTAGGACCCGACAACGTTTTGCATCCGTGGAAGCCACTTCCAAGTCCCCAATGAAGAAGAGGATCCTGTCAAGAATACCTTGGCTTCGGCAGGATGCCTCCCCGTGCCTCAATTCTTCCCCATTTTGATGCCTTTTAGAACCCAAAGGGCAAGAGGTCCTTGAACCTAGATGATGTTGAATTTCACCTTGGTGAACGATAAAGTATTCACCGCCTTCCCTGATTATCTTTAGTCCCCTGAAATCATGAACGGAGTTGGGTATTCAATGCCACCATATGAAGCAGATCTTTTGGAGACCTTTTTTCTGTTAGCATCTCTACATGATGGAAGGGAAGTAACTCCAATGACTGATATGTCTAATTTGTCTCAAACAAATGATTTTTGGAGGTGCATTAATAGAAAGAAAATGAATTTGAAAAGATCGCCATACAAATCAGAAAGATCAAACTTACAGTCCGACACGGTCACAACGGTCCTGCACCTCATACACCTCTTTCCAGGACTTTGAGTTGGCAGGATCATAGAATGCAGCGCGATCTTCTCCCCATCTCTCCTTGAACAAATTACTCCAAAGGGTGTTGGCTGAGGCCAAGACTTTCCACTTTCTGCAAACTGTTAATCACCAATTTCATCATCTTAACTTAACATTTAGAAGCAAAATGCAGCTAAAGCAAAGATCTAACAGTTCGCAAACAACTATATATTCTTGTGTAGAATCTCATTTGCCCCTCAATTATCAAAATCTAGTCGATTTGCATTCATCCCACCCTAAGTTGGAATATACTTTCTGAAGTTTCAAGTTATCCCGTATTGCCTGCTATATATACGCCGATGTCGCTAGATAGCCACTTTTTCAGCCAGGGCAAATTTTTCATCTAAATCCATCTTCCTACATCACCATTGCGATAGATCATGTCAAGGAACAGATATGCAATGCATCTAAAGGTTTCATAGATTCGATCTAGAGAAATCATCACAAATTTCATTATTTTGCCAGTCATCTACTTTGCTGCATTTAAGTACTGCCTCCACGGATGCATCTACGATCACCTATCATCAGCAAAATCAAGCACACTCCAACCAGACTTTATTAAGCATAAGACAGTTGCACTCGTTCTCCTCGCGGAAAAAGAACAATTTTGAATTGAACTCTGGAAACAATATCAAAACATTTTACATGTAAAGGGAAACATCAAAAGCTTTATTCAGTATAAAGTCAATAAAACGACTCGACCGCGCCAAAACGGACCGTTTCCCTCTCAGGCAGATCTGAACTACTTTGCGACCACGAGTTGTATCTTTCTCTCATTAAATTCGAAACAATATGGCCCCCCACAGAATTCTAATCAAATCTCACTGAAGTTAAGATCAACCGTCTCCGATTGTGATCACCTCAACTGAATTGCACGAGATGCGAGCTCCTCATCAACCAATCAAGCCTTTGAAAGGCGCTCACATTCAACAACGAGCATATACCGCCCCCCCTATCGGAATCTCAATAGAAATTTAGTAAACCGATGATAAAAGACAAATCTCGATTTAGTCTGCTAGAATTCCAGCGAGCAGTCAACATTGCAAAGAACCCAGATTCGCGAGGAATCAGCAGAACCCAACTCAGATCAGACGCTACAGAAGACCCATCAAATTCCAAATTTTGAACTTGGACGCGACAAAATCCAGGAATCCGGGAATCGACCGACCGACCGACCTTGAAGAGCAGTGGCGAGGTTCTGGTGATCCAACAAGCAGAATATCTTGGAACAGAGCTCCTCCGGCAATCTCTCCATTGAACAAGAGCTTCCCGAATGCCCACGAGCCTCCCTCCCTCTCGAATGGCCTTCTGGACAAAAGTCAAGATCGAGAGTGTGCGTGTGCGTGTAAGAGAGAGAGAGATGACGACACGATGATGATGATGATGAGGCTGTCGCGATGCTTTCTTAGGTGGGCAGGCTTCGCTTCTGGAGCGTCTTCCCACTCGAACAGTCCGAAACGTTTGACGTGTCGCGGTACTAACCCCGCATCGCTCGAGTAGTTCACGAACCGGTACTCGCTCTACCCGTAAGGCTTCTGCCCTTTTATGGGTCTCTCCTTTTTCTCAAAAAACAAAAGTCACAAAAACCCTAAATTATAGGGAAAAAGCCACCAAAAACTCCAAACTTTCTCACTTGTGACACATTTACCCCGAACTTTCTTTTGTGACACCAAAAATCTCAAACTTTGCTATTTGTGACACATTTACCCCAATGCATTTAGTCCATGGGCATTTTCGTCTTTTTTGCATTTTCTTTTTTTTTTTTCCTTTTTTTTTTCCTTTCCGGCGAGGGGGGCTCTCGCCGAATCCGGCGAAGGACGCCCTCGCTCGCCCAGGCGAGGGCGACCCTCGCCGGCGTCGAGCGAGGGCGGCCCTCGCCCGATCTGGCGAGGGCGACCCTCGCCGGCGAGCGAGGTCGCCCTCGCCCGGCGTCGGCAAGGGCGGCCCTCGCTCGCCCAGCGAGGGCGACCCTCGCGGCCGGCGAGGGTCTCCTCGCGGATCGGGCGAGGGTCGCCCTCGCCTGGGCGCGAGGAGGCCGCCTCGCCCGAGGCTCAGCGAGGTCGACCCTTGCCCGACGCCGGCGAGGTCGACCTCGCTCGAGCCTCGGGCGAGGGCCGCCTCGCTCGCCCGGCGAGGGCGACCCTCGCCCAACGGCGGCGAGGGTCCCCCTCGCCGGATCCGGTGAGGGCCCCCCTCGCTGGATCCGGTGAGGGCAGCCCTCGCCCGACGCCGGCGAGGGCCCCCTCGCCAGAAAGGAAAAAAGACGAAAATGCCCATGGACTAAATACATTGAGGTAAATGTGTCACAAATAGCAAAGTTTGGGGTTTTTGGTGTCACAAAAAAAAGTTCGGGGTAAATGTGTCACAGATGGAAAAGTTTAGGGTTTTTGGTGGCTTTTTTCCTAAATTATATTGCGACACATTTACTCGCACTTTATTTTTGTGATATCAAAAATCTCAAATTATGTTCCTTGTAACAACATTTACTTTAAACCTCAAACTTATACTTAAGTAACACATTTATTCTCTTCCGTCTAGAGTTCGATAGTTTATTTTTCAACCAAAATAACGTTTTTATCTTAAGCCGCGTGGCGTCATGTCAACATTGTTTGCTTTGTAGCGCCCTATTGACTGAACTTTGACGGAGAAAGATAAATATGTCACACAAGTATAAATTTGAGATTTTTTATATTACAGTTGACATAATTTAGAGTTTTTTGGTGACTTTGCCGTACGTTTTTTTAAGTCTCTTACAAGGTGAAATGGAGCGGCTCGCTTTTCGTTGGGGATCGGGAGTAGGAGCTAAATTGTACTCTAGCGCGTGCAGCATCGATGAGCACCGTGAGTTACCTTTTTCTTACCGCGAAACTTGAAAAGCTTCGTGAACGGCGAAGTACCCGCCAAAAAGCGGGAGGTAAAAAAACCGGCAAGAAGAAAAAAATTCACATGAAATGCTAATTTGAATGGAATATTACATACATATGTGAATTTCTTTGCATCGACAGTCTTAGTTATATTTGATATGAAGGTTAAAATCATAAAACAAAATATCTTAATAACCATCAAATCGATAGTAGCCAAGGCGGGATATTTCTTTCTTTTTTTTTTACATGCTAAAGAGTTTGTTATAGTCTCTTTACGCTATCAATGCCCCAGGCATGTTTGGATTGATTTTCACTTTTTACTTAGTTAAAATCTTGTACTTTTGATTTTGAATAGACGATGGAATCTTTATTAATTTAGATAATTATCAAAACGACGGAAAACAAAAGGCGTCTTTTGCATTTGATTTAGAGCTAGCAAACTGGCCCTAAAACTTGCTTCTTTTTCTTTGTATGAAAACACACAACACGTGAAGATATAAGTAATTTCTTATAACTTTCCACGTAATAACTTATAAATTATCCATGGGAAAATTACCCGATCGGTCATAAATCTATCGTACGAATGCCAATTCAGTCCTACACTTTCCAATTCTGCCGATTTAGTCTTAAACATTTGCGCGGAATTCCAATGTAATCCTTCGGGTCAATTTTTGCCGAAAATCATCGATGTGATGATCCAGTCATCACCGATTATCCTACGTGATAAACTGTCATGCTAGCGATTTCCGGCGAAAATTGGCTGGAATGACTACATTGGAATTTCGTGCAATGGTTTATGAATAAATTGCCAAAATTGGAAAGTTTAGGATTGAATTAGCATCCGTACAATATGTTTACGACTGATTGGACAATTTTTTTATTTATCCGAAAAGGCTACTAGTAATTGAGAAATGCACACTTTTTCAATGTTCTCCACATGGACCAACACACGAGAATTGTAGGCAAGAGTTGCTTCATGGACGAACACTGAAGACCGTACTCATCAGTGTTGAGATTTGTCGCATAAAACTAGTTATACGTCATATAGATTTTTGCTGTAAATTTAATCAAGTGGAGTGACCGCTGTAACATTGCTTTCTTCCGGAATTCCCATCTTTCGAACATGTAGTATTACGATAGGTACATGTTGATGTGATTGCCTAGTGCGAATCTTCTAGTAATACATCGTACTTATGGACCGCAGTTCTAATGAAAGTATAGAACTCTTACGAAATTACGATCGGGGTGTCGACCCATTTAAGTTTAAGCTGTTAGACAAAATAATATTAGGATAAAAAGTCTCGCTTGTTTGCTGGTTAGACCGGTACATACACCAATCATCACCGGAAGAGTGACAAGAACAAGAAGAGCTAGCAGCCTTTTCCGACGGATCTATCCACAAAGGGCGAAGCAAAGGAACTTAATTCTAGCTTTCCAAAAGAGGTTAAGCGTAAGCTTTTTTGCTTTCTCATTGGATCGCTTGATAGCGAGCCCATTGCTTCCTTTCAAAAGTTGACATGCGCCCAAAATGCCTACTTCAAACTCATTTGAAGAACCCTATTTGCTCGACTGTTAAAGGAGATCTATTTGATAAGCTCTTGGTGCCATCGAATCCCTTATCTTTGAGTGAGACCACCTAGAAATAGCTTTAGCACAAGATAAGATCTCGATCGTTGACCTTTTCTTTGCTTTTTTGGATAGGCTTACCCCTATGGAATAAAGTAAAGGCATTGATTTATCAACCAAGGAAGAAGAATCTGGAGATTCTAGAGATATCAATCAAAATTACAAGATAATTCATGGAAATGATAGAATCAAGTGATTGACAACTCTTGTAATATAATGATATTTTCATTTATTATTTTCCATTGTTGTATTGTTTCCTGAGTTTAACATTTGTAATATCTATATATAATGAAAATCATCTCAACAATGATACGTTGAGCTTAAGAATCAGACTCCTTTGTTCTTTTATGGTATCAGAGCATATCTTCAAAAGAAATCGATCCTTAACCATGTCTTCCACCAATCCTAAGTATTTATACCCCTCATCTTTGAACATTAGCAATTTTGTGTCACTGAAACTGACACAAACAAACTATTCTTATTAGAGAGCCCAGATGCTTGCACTAATTGAAAGTCAAGATCTGGTAAGATTCATTGATGGCGAGTACCAGATGCCAAGTCCAACAATAGCCACCCACTCTGATTCTGGAAAAGAAGCTAGAGTCCTAGAGGAAGTGGCAAATCTAGATTTTTTACAATGGAGAAGGTCAAATCGCCTTCTGCGGGGATGGATCATTGCGACGCTCTCCGAAGAAGTTCTTGCTCAATTAGTAGAATTGAAGACATCTGCTGAGGTGTGGTTAGCTTTACAAAATATTTTTGCCAAGGTATATGAGGAACGTGAAGTTTCAATTTTTCTACAAATTCAAAAATGTCATAGAGATAATTTCTCATCTCTTTACGAGTATCTCGGTGCTTTTCAAAAATATTTTAATGAGTTATCTACTATCGGATGTCCCCTTGAGGACAAAAAGAAGGGTCTCTTTGTTTTGAATGGCTTAGGTGATCAATATGATTCATTCACAACCTCCATGTTGAAGCCTCCAATGCCGATATTCTCTGACTTGGTTTCACAACTGCAAAGTTTTGAGAGTCGGCTCACAAATAAAAGTTCCCTTGTAATTCAACACGGGACAGCTTTCTTTGGTCAAAGAAATAATTTTAAGAGCATCAAGAAGGGCAAACAATTCCAACATTCCAACAATTATTTTTCTTCGCATGGAAGAGGGTTTTCTCACAATGGTCCAAGAATGAAAAATTCTCGGGTTGATTTTGTGCAATCGCAGGGTCACCAGCCACAATTTAATCAAAGCAAGATCGAGAAACTTGTGAAAGGAACAGACAAAGTTGTTTCCTATCAAATATGTAACAAGCAGGGACATTTTGCTTTAGATTGCTTTAATCGATTTAATCAATCTTTCCTTCCATCGGATGTGCCAAAGGCATTTGTTGCGCTTACTATTGGAGATAGTCAGGATTCAAAATGGTTCACTGATACTGGAGCTTCAAATCACATGACCAAAGATGAAGGTAACCTTTTCAACTTACGACCATACATTGGGTGATTCGCTTAAAATTTCCCATACCGGTGATGCTCAGATCAATTTGGGGCAAAATAGCATTGACTTAAAAAATGTTCTACTTGTTCCTCATATGAAAAAGAATTTATTATCAGTGAGCCAATTTACAACTGGCCATCCTCTAAATTTTGAGCTCTCTGTCACTGGTTTTGCGATAAAGGACAGGAAAACGTGAAAGGTTCTAACAGTTGGAAACCGTGAAGGTGATCTATATACCTTGAAGGCGCCAAAAGAAGCACTATTTTCAAATCGGTTCAGAAAACCTGATGAAAGCACTAGGCATCAAAGGTTGGGACATCCACAGTCAACGACAATCCGTCATCTGCAAAATAAAGGCGAAATTATTATTACTGCTTGGAATAAACCACTACGAT